CGAGTCGCCAATGTTTGTATCCCCACATATTATTACTTTATGACATAAGAAGGCGAGAGTTAAGTAAATATTGATGGAGTGGGTTGTCGAACATGACATTTCCGCGTCGCGGGGGGTCTACAGTCTAACACGTATTTACCATAACCTGTATACCTGTCAGCGTCATCGAGTTTATCTCTGCTGCACAAACGGTCTGCCGCAGACATCATAACATGATGTGCAGTCCTCAATGGAATTCAACTTACGTAAGATAATATTTCATTATGTTTATAAGCACGTAATAGACAAATCAGCCCAGCTGTAAAACTAGGTAACCGCATATATCATGGCATAAATCTGGTTATGTTGGCCGTTATATCTAATTACTCTGTACTTTTGTAAATCTCCTCATTCGTACTTGATCTCTAACTAAATAATCAGCTTGTTGACTCTAAACCGAATATAACCGGTGATGTGTTCAAACCAGATATTCCACAAGACTTTGTTAGGTTTCTATTAAAAAGTCAAATCCGTGTAATAGTCATAATACATCTATATATCTAACTAAGCTTCTCTGTTATAACCATGGACCCTCCTCCCTATTCCGGACGACTTTAGGTCTAAACTATATGTTATACTCAGGCACCTTCTCCATTGCGAACTTAGCTACACTTTTGATATAAATTTTACGACCAGACATATATTGCATGTAATTATCAGAGACCCTCTCTACTCTGGACCATCCTTGACATCCCCTCTCCATCCCGGACGTACATGTAGCTGCACATTTTATCCTACGGATTTTTTATTTTGACATTATTCATACAGGGTTCTACAGTGAAATTAAATACTGGACACTCCGAAGGTCTGCATAAATCGTACGTTCCAATGTATATGGATCAAAAGGAAATGCCGAAATCAGAACTGCTGTCTATTTCGGACGAAGGTCGATTCTTACAGTGTCCGGTTTTGCCAGGTTTCCTTCAGTTCTGCTGTTGGAAGTCCCTACATTTCTATCACGGATATTTTACAATATGGCATCTCGGTTGACTGCCTTATCTAACCCAGCGTTGCCATCACTTTATAGAGTTGTATATATATATAGTGCTACTCGTACAAAGTGTAAATAGTTCCTGATACACCGCACACTTGCCGAACCATGTAATTGTTACGTACTTTTCACTCATCCGAAGTTGTCACCTTCCACCGACAAGAAAATTCCATTTTTCAGATATCGCTCAGTATGTTAAAGAGAGAAAAAACCTTTAAATAAATTTCAGTATACCATATGCCCCAAACTGTGGCAGCAAGGTTGTGTGTATTCAACGTTTTCCTTTATAAGCAGATGACTATTGCACGTGGGCACCTTGGCATTGCCAACAGCTGCCATGCTATATGACAATCGTTTGAGCTAGCTGGCATCTGCCATTCAGTCCGACGTCTACTGACACGAATGTGTAGGAATACTAGTAGACTTACACACAATCGTCCTATAACCTGCGTGCGTCAGCATCAATGGTATATGTAGAAGGGGATGACATATTCCAATTTAATACTTTCCTGAATTTTTTACCTTCTTCTTCAAGAGTTGGCCCTCCTGTAAAATGATACCATATAATTTCCCCCGAGCGTTACTCGATATATCTACTGTTCATGTATGTCGAAACAATTCTTTATAAGAAAACTTGAATTCGCAATCGCATCTTATTCTCGCAAATTCACGCTCAGATATAGTAAAAATGATAACAAAAACAGTAAACCAGATTATTGGAGATCGCGCCAAACCTTGTACACTTTTTCCAGTTTCCAGTTTTGCCATAGGTCTAAAATAGGTTTCTTGTTAAACGCTTGACATTATATCTAATTTACATATTGTAAAGAGCAAGTTAATGCGTCTAAACAACGTCATCACTTTCATTTAGTTGATGTCCATCCTTTGCAATGCGCCAAATACCTAACTAAGTAACATTCAACATTAATTAATGTAATTAATCAAAATAAACTCATTAAAGAGTAATACTCATATTCTTTTCAAATTAATCACATATACTACAGTTAATGTTCAGTTTGACTATTGTTAATTAGTCTCGTCAGGAAGTTGAAATTTAAATAAGGACATCAAATTATCTGTACAGAATCCCAACCATTCATCAACATTGTAACGTGTAACATGGTGTTAGCTGTTATTAGCGCACGCAAGCCTCCCTCACCTGAACATACTGTAGCAGATACAACACATGGCTTTGAATGCATAGTTCTCGATTAATTATATCAAAATGTTGACTAGTTGCCATATTGTGTACACCCAAGGTCAGATCATACCAAGAAAATGCACACGTGCTTCTGTGGCGATGGACCACGTGCACTTTTATCCAGGGTAGTATATACGAGATCGCTCTGCCAACTGTATGTACTTTAGCGCATAGTTTGGGAATACTAACTACATATTTCCTCCACAAATTAATTCGATGGTTAACGCTGCCAGCGCATGGTGGTCAGACGATTTGTACGAACGAACCTCGTTTTGAAAACTACTTCCGGCCTCTCATTACAAATGCACACACAACACCATACAGACATAGCTGAAATACTGGGACATGTCAGCTGGCCTCGACCCAATACCGCGGCTTTTAATTAAGGACTGAATGAACGAGAGCGGACCAAATGTTACCCCGATATACAAAACAACTATTCAGCATTGTACATTGTACAGTTCACGTAATTTGTAATTCACAATTTAACATTGATACTGTAGAGATATTTTCAGACAGAGATTTGAAAAGATATACGATCGTTTTGGTCTTTCTCGGACTTATTCTTATTTTTCAATTGATATGTCAAATGTATATATAGTTCCTAACTTAGTTTTGTAGCCCGGACTGAGTTCAGCATAAGCGATTGTACTTAAAAAGATCCTTGTCGGTGGATATTTGAGGAGGCTGCTGGAAATTACATACACACGGAAGATATACAAAAACGGACAAGTGTTATTTATGTCGCGTTATAAGTGGTGAAAGTATATTGCGATCATAGCATATTTAAACAATAATATATTCCAGATACATGAATACCATTTCGTAACTGATTCCGATATACATTTTACAAATCAACCATTGATATATATAAAAACAAGAGGCCCAGAGGGCCTGTATCGCTCACCTGGATATCTAAGCAATCATGGCAAAATATTCTCCAAATGAGATCCAAGGGAATATGCCAGACCCCAAGGCAAATCCTTGTAGCATATCTGTATAAGATTGTTCATGCCCATCAATGTAATGTATGGTTATGGGGTGGGGATCTCAACTGTTTCCAAGCTGTGACTAAGAAACTAGGTCCCGAGGGGTTCGGTCAGACCCCAGGGTCTATTTTAGTATCATGACTACAATCGTCTCTTTATGCCAAGCATTTGTATATATAGTTTTGGGGTGGGGATCTCAACCGTTTAAAAGTTATGACCCAGGGACTATGTATCCAATGGTGGGGCCAGACCCTAGAGCCATCCTAGAAGCAAATGTGCATTCTTCTCTTTATACTCAGCAATTGTATATATGGTTATACGGTGGGGGTCTCAACTATTTCAAAGTAATAAACTTTTGTTGGCCCCACCCCCAAGCCCGGGGGTCAGCCCCAACATTAATACAATTTTGAATCCCTGCCTCCCATGAATGCTTCCGACCAAATATGACCGATATCCATGGCACAGTTCTACAGAAGAAGTCATTTTTAGCCAAATTGACCACTTTTGGCCCCGCCCCTCAGCCCCCTGGGGGAGGGGGGTTCAGCCCCACTATTTGTATAATTTTTAATCGCCACCACCTAGGTATGCTTCCAGTCTAATATGGTTGATACCTACCATTTAGTTCCAGAGAAGACGTCGCTTAAAGCAATATAGCCAAATTGCCCCCTTTTGGCCCCATCCCTCAGCCCCCTGGGGTCAGCCCCACCATTTGTACAATTTTGAATTCCCACCGCCTAGGGATGCTTCCAGTCAAATATTGTTGATAACCAATCTCTAAGTTAAAGAGAAGAAGTCGCTTAAAGCAATATAGCCAAATAACCTTTTTGGCCAAGCCCCTCAGCCCCCTGGGGGGTCAGTCACACCATTTGTACAATTTTGAATCCCTGACTCCCATGAATGCTTTCGATCAAATATGATTGATATCCAGTGTAAAGTTCTACAGAAGAAGTCGCTTGTAGCAATATAGCCAAATTGACCCCTTTTGGCCCCGCCCCTCAGCCCCCTGGGGGGTCAGCCCCACCATTTGTACAATTTTGAATCCCCAACACCTAGGGATGATTCCAGTCAAATTTAGTTTAATTCCAATAAGTGGTTAAGAAGAAGAAGTCGTTGAAAGAAATTGTTGACGTACGGACAGACGACGGACGGACGCCGGACGCCGCGTTATGGCATAAGCTCACCTTGGTCCTTCGGACACCCTTCGGACCAGGTGAGCTAAAAAAAAAGATGATTTTGGCTCGCGGTAGTAATTCTCTCCGTACGTCTTTTACGAATACAACTGTGTAATCAAAACCTTGCCAAATAACTACCATTTCGCCAGCAATCTATTGACACTGAAATAACATAGTCGCCAAAATAAATTCACAAAACGAAAATATATGGTCTCGAAAATGACTTACATATCATATTATTATAATTACTTTTCTTATTGCTATTTGAATCCGGAAAAAGTAAATAGAAAACAGTAAACAAGCTAATAGAACACTTATTGCCAATAACAAAGTCAGAGTTGTTTCCCCTGACAAGGACTGGTATCTGTAGCAAATTTTTGGGTTCCTCTATATGGTGCGCTATTAATGTGTTTTGCTATATACATTTTTGTAGCTTTTAAGAATATTATGTATCACTAATTGTTTTGAATGTTTTCATGTTTCATTTGTATCGTTGCATCTTTTACATATAAAAATATGCATAAAGAACAAAACTGACATGTTTTGATTTTGAACGACAAAGACTCGTGATGTTTAATTTTATCCATTCATTATTATTGTTTTTACAGGGTGACTATGAAGTAGTGTTTAAGGTTTTGGACGAGAACACAGAAGAACTTGGTTGTCTTAACCTTCGATTCGCCATCAAACGTCGACACAAAGGATGGCTCTTCAAGATCTAGCAGTGCAGGTGAAATCTTGACCGCGGTGTTTAACAAATGACCTGAATTCACACGTCACTTCCTGGGGAATTGTGTGATACATACTGCATTATTCTCATCACTGCATTTCTTATTACTGTCGTTAGCGTCAGCTATAAACTCGTCGTTACCGGATATGACGCAACATTATACTTCCGGTATATATCTTAGACGACGATTAACAACCAGCTGTACTGGACACGTGGACTTGCTTCCAGTAGCTTTCAGGTCTGGTTTTGTGTATCTTATGGTTACCGTGCGTTATCAAAGATTTAGTTTCCTGACCAGCAAAGGAAAACATCCGAGAGATCACATGAGGAATCGTTACATGATTTCAAGTGGAATAAAAGACACCACTTCCTGGAGACGTTTGTCTCCCGCACATTTAAGTCCCCTACCTCCATGACCGTTAGAATCGGCCCATAACCGGAAGTGATACGTCTAATCAGAAAGGCAAAACTGCTCTGTGACAACCTACTGGACATGACTTTGTAGTTGTGAGGCGAGTCAATGACAGTGTTTAGAATCTACGGGGTCTGGTTGGTTGTTCGTGAATTGAGTCTGCAAAGGCATTGTATCGAACCTACGGGATTTGATAGTCTCTTGGTGAAAAAGAGTCAGATATTGCATTAGACGGAATCGGATTGTGTAAATGATGACGATGTCACGGGCGCTAACCTCATTCCTTAGTTGGTGTTCGCCTAGTATTTATTATTTGTAAATCTTGTGTAGACCCTTTACCGTAATTCTGACGATAGTGAAATCCAGTGATACGAAGATGACTACACATGTCGTAATTGAAGAGAAACTGAATTATTCTGTCGCTTTTGTAAAAACGTCTAACATCATATCCGTGATCAAATTATTGGTAAGATTTTATCTTTCTTCCAGGAAAGCATTTATGATCTGACGATAAACGTCACAAGAGAATACTTGTGTAGCTTTTTCTTCTCTTTTAACGATTTGTTGTGCTTTAATGAAACAATATTAAGCTACTCGTTTAACAGACGATATTTTTACATTGACAACAGGCTGGTGCTAATTTCTGCACGTGCTGCCCAAAGACGATACTTTTGCCTTCATTTATTTCTCATATTTTTGTATACGAACCATAATGTTAGGTGTTTATGGATTATAAACATGTACTACCTTACTGTAGCACGTACTTCCTTTCACAAAAGAGTTCCGAAATGAGAAATAATAAAAGTATCTTTGATGAACAATAATTTTGGCTATATCAATCATAATATAAATGACAACACGTTTGAAAAGAAAATATGTGAAGGGAGACAACCCCAAGATAAACAATGTCATTAAATGAGTAAGGCTGCATACATCCTTAACTCTAACGCAGATAAGTGGTACTGCGATGTAGCTTACAACGTTACGGTCATGTGATTTGATATAGCTTGGTGTGGGAGGATGCTTATCAAACAAAAAGCATACACAGTTCATTGCTTTGAAAAAATTATCCTTGAAATTATGTGGTGTATATAAAAGATATATACATACACATGTATGTCTACTCAACCCTTGGTCTGATGAATGTCTGCAAGCTCTCGTTTCAACTCTGTGAAACTGAGGCTATTTGATGAAGATCCTTGTATTGACAGTAAAAATATAAAATTTCAAATTTTGAAAATGGGAGTGATAGGAACATACCTAATGAAAACACTAACCGTTCCTTTCTATAGTTGCTGAATATTTGAAGTAACAGACATTTCTTTTCTCTCTGAACAATGCGTTTTCATCAATATATTCGACAACATCTTTCCCATTTTATAATAAAATTATTTAAGACACACTTTCGGACTAAAGCATTACGGAAATTGAGCACTCCTTAGAATTGGGTATTACCAAGATTGATGTCTACTTTTCCCCTCGAGTTTAGGTTTCCCATTTCTGCGATCCATGAAAATGAGCAGTTGAATCTCGGAGTTAAGACTGACAAGATCTAACGGACGAGTTTCTGACCTTTGGAATAATAACACATATTGTTCGTTGGAGGATGTCCGATTCGTTGTGCTACTGTACTATGCACGTGTGTGCTATTTTGAATGTTCATTAGAAATTGACCATAGAAATTGATGTTTTTGTGATAAGTTCTGTTAATGTATATTGTAGAATATATGAATATGTTTATTTGAACATTAAAATCTAAAATCTAGAAAACATCTTCGTGTCCTTCTGTTTTAAACCAACGTTTGCAAATTATATTAATCTTACAATAACCAAATTGTTTTACAAATGTACATACCTTACACAATGTGAAGTTCCATAGGATTCAGTAGTTAAGGAGCTATGGTGCTTTACCTTTGGGACCTTGTCCTTACCTTGATCGTTAAGAAACGATTCTTGTCATGATCTGCAAGAAAAATTACGAAAATCTTAGCCAATTATAAGATATTGCCCTGACGCACATTAACATATTTACGTGAACGTTTTACCATTGACCTTTTACCCTGACCTTGACCTTTAACCGGTATGAAAGTGTTCCGTGACACATCGTCCTGTCATGATTAACGTATCTGATTACTGTAATCCACAAGGAAAGGTTGGGCAAAGTTAGTAGATATGGCTCGGACAAAACGTGTCAGCGGACACAAGCACGGACAACGGACAATTAGCAGATATGGCTCGGACAAAACGTGTCAGCGGACACAATCACGGACAACGGACAATTAGCAAATATGGCTCGGACAAAACGTGTCAGCGGACACAAGCACGGACAACGGACAATTAGCAGATATGGCTCGGACAAAACGTCAGCTGACACAAGCACAGACACCGGACAACAAACAGATAAGGCTATGACAAAACGTGGCAGCAGACACGCAAGGATGACTGACAATTAGCAGATAAGGCTCGGACAAAACGTGTCAGCGGACACGCACGGACAATTAGCAAATATGGCTCGGACAAAACTTGAAAGCGGACACGCACGGACGACGGACAATTAGCAGATAAGGCTCGAACAAAACGTGGCAGCGGACACGCACGGACGACGGAAAATACGCAGATATGGCTCGGACAAAACGTGTCAGCAGACACGCACGGACGACAGACAATAAGCAGATAAGGCTCGGACAAAACGTGACAGCGGACACGCACGGACAATTAGCAAATATGGCTCGGACAAAACGTGAAAGCGGACACGCACGGACAATTAGCAAATATGGCTCGGACAAAACGTGAAAGCGGACACGCACGGTCGACAGATATGGCTCGGACAAATCGTGTCAGCAGACACGAACGGACGACGGACAATTAGCAGATATGGCTCGGACAAAACGTTTCAGTGGACACAAGCACGGACGACGGACAATTAGCAGATATGGCTCGGACAAAACGTGGCAGCGGACACGCACGGACGACGAACAATAAGCAGATATGGCTCGGATAAAACGTGGAAGCGGACACGCACGGACGACGGACAATTAATTATAGCTTTTTAAGTGAACTGGTCTAATAACTGCAACGAGCTCAAATTTGAGCAGTAAACATGTTTTGAAGAGAGGCCCAAAGCAAAAGTAAAATGTGGTCTGGGGATAGCGTTTCTCATGCAACCAAGCACAAGGTCATGTATGACAATTTTTGTACTCTTCATCTTATATACAGATGCATACACATTGCTTTACGCGCTATAAACGCCTGTACACAACCTACATCGTCACGGTGACAGCCAATAAATTTACAAGTCATTTACTACATACACACTATGCTATATTTGTCGATCAAACTAAAATGATATTCAAAGGAGCATGAAATTTAAGCGGAATGGTCGTTGTGTCAATAAACCGGTCTGTAACGAGCTGTTATCTCTGTAAAGCTTGACATTCATTGGAAAAGATTGGGAAATTACACATGGGGATCACATAAACGATTTACGTAAGGGCACACAGGGTCGGCATGCCACCCGCGTCGTCTCCGTATGTTTTATAATCAAATCCCGCAAAATTTCACAAATATTTCCTGATGTACACTGTCGAGTGTTTGAGCGATATATTGGAATATTTACGTAAATAAGTGGGCTGAATTTACAAACATCCTCGACTACTTCCTCGCTACCTCATATAGCAAGTAACTGACACGACGTGCCTATTACAGAGTACGTACGTCGTGGAATATGGTCGAATCACGGTCTGTCTGGGTCTATACCATTTATCAGTACGGAGTAAAGAGTCAATACGGAATCTACATTGGTATAACAGGGTCTACATATGTCTTGATGGGTAGACTTATTGACATAAAACAAAATATCCTAGAGAGGTCTAGCGCTTGGCGCCAACAATCGTACGATCATCATTAGTTCTATGCAAATTTGATCTTTTCCCTTAATTTCTCTTATATGTTAGATTGATCAGTCCTGTCAACAGTAAATGTATTGGTTGCAGTTCATTAAAAGTTCATGCAGCTGGATTTGGCAGTGTCTTTTCCAAGGTAGGTCCTATTTTGACCAATTATCAGGACCAATACAACAAAAGTCACTTGTGGTTTTTTTAGTAGCCTTATTTTTTTATCTAGCCACTTAAAGTCCAAAACGGAATAAAAGATATATCTACTTAAGAAAGCTTCGTATGCAATTTAAGTAAAATCCGTGCTCCTCTTGAGAAATATCAATAATTAATCATTAAGATCAACATAAGCTCTCAAAATACAAGACGCTGCCGTCTTGTATTTTGAGAGCTTATGTTGATCTTTCAATATGTTTTGTGACTAAAGACAATAGTTAAACATTTGAAACTTGAGAAAAATCTGTTAGGGGACTTTTTGAGAAAAAGTGAAAACAAATATTGACACTCACATCCAGGATCCATTTTGTTTTCAGATGAATCCAAATTTCGACGTACATGGGACCTTACGTGTAAGAAAGATCCCCCTTGTCCCTCCAGTACTCTGTGAATAGAACTAACAAATTTTACATATACAAACTACAAGAAGACAATCTGTCGGTGATAGGCCAATATGGACTGACCACCAGATTTTCTGAAGTTGTTAAAATAATGAATTTTAGTTGAAATGTTGCTGTCACCCAAAAACTCACAACTAATTTTCGAAGTTTGGGAAGGGACATGGTTTCGTCTCTGAATATTGGGCATATGAATATGCCCCCTTTGATCAGAAAACAAGTTGTTATGTTTTAACTTCCAATAGGAGCTGTTGTTTAATTATGTACAATATAGGTCCAACTGAACGCTATATTCATAACTGCATGTGCATCAGTGACAACTTTGTTGCGTTCGCGTCCATATCGGATGAAGTTTTCATCATTCTACTGGATTTATAGAAACTGAATCTCCGTTCAGCAAATGTTTGAAATATAAATTGGAAGCAGCCATGTCATTTGTCTAAAACTGTCGGAAATATTGAAGAGAAAAGAATGAAAACCTCAGGTAAATACATTCAATTACAGAACAAAACCAATAGAATGCAACTGTATAAAATGTCTAATATAAATTCAAAACTTACTTTCGGTTTTAATTGCTTCCTCTTCCATTTTTCTGGCTTTTGAATTTCAAAACAGATAAACTTTTTACAATGGCGGCCGGTTTCCTGCAGCAGACAACTTGGTGACCAGCTGCGCATGTCCGTTTCATCATTTGATAGACACGTGTCAGATTTGTGAGCTGGCTACGCACGTGGGCTAGCTGTGATTGGTTGACAATGCAAATGAGGGTTTGATAGACGAAGACAAGACTAAACTATTACACTGTAAAGCTGGTCGAATATATATATATATATATATAGGATTTTCAATATTTTTCAATCCCAAAGGATAAAAAGCGCATTCAACGAAAAATCTTTGGACATGTCTATACTAATATAAATGGACTATGGATTGTAGTTTTGGGGCCGGAGAGGTGCTGTAGTATAGGAATTAGGTGAATACTTGTATTGAGCTTGTGCTGAAAATGGGCATGGTTTAACTTGAGATTTAGTCGAAAAAGTCTTAAAATCAACAGTCTGCAGTGGTAAAGATCATCGATATCGACCTTATGAAGTAATTTTAAAGATTTACCTCGTTTGCCAAGGTAGGCTTCGATACCACATCAAACACTAGCTCGAAGAAAATATCCTTCAGTTACACAACACCGATTTTCTTGGTGATGGTTCATACCAGTTTTTAATTCAGTTTAAAATTTCTTCACACTTGTACTTCAATAGTAGTCTCAAACTGAAACCCATACTGTATTCCACGGGCGAACTAACGATAATTAGAGTTTAGCAGGAGCAGTAAAGACAAGTGTTGTCAATAGACAGACGGATAAACGGACGAACCCGTCCCCGTAACCTATTGGGCGGGCTCATTAGCTTTTATGAAAACCACACCTTCGTTATATTAACTGAAACCTTGTTTCAGGAATGCTTCATATTACTGTTGAAATGGAAATAATTAAAAAAAAATGGGTTTTTTTAAGTCCAGATAAGGAAAAACCAAAACTGAAGTGTCGACATACAAGTTACAGCGCCACTTGACATGCATGCACTACATATTTTATTTCATTACATGGAACAGTCAAAAGTATCCTTCTCAAGAGAATTAAAACAAGAGGCTCAGATGAACTGGGTCGCTCTGTTCATGTGTAAAACTATTTAATATGCAAGATAATATTGGAAGACAAGTGTCATTCTACTAAAGCAATAAAATGGACGTGACGTCACTGATAAATTCCTCCAAAATGATTCAGCGAATACTTCATTCCATTTACCTTCAGTGTAGACTTGGTATGCCTTAATAAGCAGCCTGAATCATTATACCTCTATTTGATCCATGTGACCTTGAAAATATGTCGAATCATCCGTTTTCACAAAAGACAAACTTCTTTCAGAAGCTCTTTCACGTTTTGATATTTGACCTCCCTGGACAATGGTCATACCAGACAGAGTTTGTTCAACTCCTCGTCGTTCCTGATGGCCAACTGCAGATGACGGGGGATGCATCGTAACTCTCCATCTCAGCTTCCGTTTAAATAATAGTATGTATTTTTGTTCATCAGAAGAAATCGTTTGAAGTCTTTTTTTTTCTCTCAAATATTTAATCCCAATTATCATGGAATTTGGCTAAGGTCATTTGTTTTAACAAACTTTGTAAATCCAATAACAAATGAATATTGGACAAATATCATGACTCTTAAGACGACGTAGTCCAATGCAATTGGTTTTTATTTGCAAAAAAAAAGTACACCTGCTAGATTATTCCCCCCGCATGGTTATCAAGACAATGTTCTTGACCTTTGACCTCAATGTTACCTTGACCTTGGAGTTACAGACCCCAAAGTGGTACACGACATACCGCCTTGCTACATGTATCCAACGTATATCCCTAACATTTCATTCATATTGAGCCATCTCAAGAAGTTAAGGCCAAAGTAACTAATTGGACCTTTGACCTTGAGCATGTAGTTAAAGTTGTAAAAGAAACTGCATTTCCATCCTACATAATCCTTAAAACTGTATTGAGTCATTTTTAGAAGTTATGGAATGGAAGAATTACGACTTTTGACTTTAATTTGACCTTTACCTTGGACATACAAACCCAATTCTAGTTAGAGACACACCACCTTGCCATCCTACATATATCACTAATATTTCATTCAGTTTTCTTCAGCGATGTCATGGCTCATACAATGTTTATGACCTTTGACTTTGGGCACACAGACCCAAATATAGTTTGAAACACATCACTTTACCATCTTAAATATATCCTTCAACATTCATTGAGCAAAGTCAGAAGTAATTGCCTTTCAAATGAATTTGACTTTCAACCTCGATGTGACTTTGAATTGTGCTTACAGGACAAGGTATTTTTAACTTTTGACCTCACTGTGACCTTGACATTAGAAATACAGTCCCATAAGTGGTACACGACATGCTGTTTTGCTATCATTTATGTGTCTCAAAACGTTCTTGGAGCTATCTTTGACAAATTAGAAGTTATGACCTGGACAACGAATTTGACCTCTGATTTCAATGTGACCTTAACCTTGGGCATACAGCCCAAATAATGGTATTTCACACATCGCTTTTTGGTCTTACATATATATCCCTAATATTTTATTGAGGAATCTTCTGCTAGTCAGAAGTTATGGCCTGGACTAACATTTCGGATGGACGATGGAAGGACGAACAGATGGATAAAGCAGTGTTTCTATATTTCCCTTATCTTTTTCCCAGAAGTATACAAAGGCTGAAGGACAATGGACGGATGACAGACGCTGCATCATCCCATGAGCTCACTGGCAATTCATGCAAGGCAAAATTAAAACAATTTAACAACGAGATCATCTAAACAAGTTTATTTTTCACAGAAATCGCATTCTAATGTATTATTCAAACATGATGTACCGTTAAGTTCATGATAAATGGAAAACTGATACTCAGTGTCTAAAAATGATGTTTGCAATGAAACCAGGTATTCCTGAATCAAACAGCTGATCATACTGGCATAACACAACTATATTTCATAACCAATTTTGACTTTTTCAGATTCTTACCGGAAAAGTGTAAATATCATTCAAATGCAAATGTTCAAGAAATAAAAAATCTGGATTTTTAAAAAAGCATATAAGGAAGTCTTTTTTTTTTTTTTATCTTATTGACCATGATTGATCGGGGAAATTAATCCAAATTCCAACTTCATCATATTTTGTGTTTTACACAAAAACTGTTAAAATGTATTTTGATTGAATTGTATATTAACCTAGTAAATGAACATATCACTTTTGACTTCTTGAATTTTTAAATCATAGCAAGGTTTGAACTCTATATAAGTACCTGCGCAGGTGGGGTTTTCAAATATTACACATGCAGGAAATATAAGCACATACACGACACATCACTGAACACCTTTACTGATAGTGTTACAATGTATCAGTTCAAAATGAGTATTTTTAGTTCTTTTTTTTTTACCGAAAAAACAGTATTCAAATTCTTCACTAAAACTTGTAGGTTGTCATGGAACCCCTATTTGACATAAAAATCACCCTCACAGTAATGCTGTACCTGTAACTTCTATTCACACCAAAGTGGACCCTCTCTGGACTGCTCAATTACAAATTTTAGATATACAAGTAAAAATGAGATCCACTTGTGGATGTTCAGTGAAGTTCTGCATACTCCGGTTGATGGATTCCTCAATGGAATTCAACAGTCCGGCCATGAGAGAAACAGAAATTCACTAGTCCGGCCATGAGAGTAACAGAAATTCACTAGTCCGGCCATGAGAGTAACAGAAATTCACTTGTCCGGCCATGAGAGTAACAGAAATTTATTAGTCCGGCCATGAGAGTAACAGAAATTCACTAGTCTGGCCATGAGAGTAACAGAAATTCACTAGTCCGGCCATGAGAGTAACAGAAATTTACTAGTCCGGCCATGAGAGGAACAGAAATTCACTTGTCCGGCCATGAGAGTAACAGAAATTCACTAGTCCGGCCATGAGAAACATAAATTCACTTGTCCGGCCATGAGAGTAACAGAAATTCAACAGTCCGGCCATGAGAGTAACAGAAATTTACTAGTCCGGCCATGAGAGTAACAGAAATTCACTAGTCCGGCATTGAGAGTAACAGAAATTCACTAGTCCGGCCATGAGAGTAACAGAAATTCAAAGGAGAGATGACCAGACAACATCAGATGGGGAGTCTCGGCAAATTTGATCAAGTTCACATGTTTCGTCCCACTAGGTCGGCTGTCAGCAGAACAATGTGGCCGAAACATGTAAACTGGATTAAATTTGTCAAGACTTTATGTTGTCTGGTCATCTCTTCTTTGAAAATTAAGATATGATAATAATGATGGAAAACAATAATTATTTCTGCTTTAGATGAACACTTATTTTAAGAACTTGTCTGATAGTGATTAGTGAAACTATACCAATGAGCTAGTGTATAGGATAGCTTAACTCATTCACCTCTGAAATCTTATAATGAACTGTTCCAGCCTTTGTATTGGAAGAGTTCAAATGTATCTTCAGGGGTGAATAAGTTAATGAAGTTTTCCTGATAAATTAACATGATTAATATAAACAACACTGACATTTCAACAAAACCTGTTGGACACTTATAAGTTATTGCATTTTTTTTTACATATTTACACTCATATCAATAGACCAATTAAAATGTATTGTAAATTTGTCTTTTTCACTGGGTTCTAATTTTCGCGGTAACTATTTTTCAATGAGAGGCAACCAGCTAATATCAGGAAGAATACAATCTTTCTATACTGTACATGTAGTGCCATGTGAAATGGCCACTTAAACAGGAATTCACAAACAAGAGGCCCCGTTAAATTGCCCATTTAGCCAAATCCGCCAAAATTAGTGAATGCAGAAAAAAGACTTTACAGTATAGTCCCATAAACTGACTAGAATTCCCTTACACATAATTATTCAACAAATAGTTTCTGCCTGTGATTGCGATCAGTTTCATCAATTTCAAGTGAGGCCAGACTGTCTGTACACCAACAGTGACAATAAATAATAACAAACATTAGGTATTGGCAATTAAACCTATAAGATTGAGCCACATTAATCTTCCACAGGTTTCCCTTCAACTCGTGCTATCTTCCAAACTAAATAGTCCTTTTTCAACATCAATGATCTTGCACATGAACCTCTTACATTAAGTGTATGATAATGCTAGGTAACAGAATAAAACTCTGTCCTTATAGTCAGGTGTTGGTCAAAGTCAGGGTTATTCCAAATATCAACTCATTCAAAATTTCATAATGAACTATTCCAACCTTTGAATCGGAAGAGTTCAAATGTGTCTTCAGGGGTGAATGTGTTAAGACACAACATTCAACAGATTTACTTTTATTTGAAGGCTACTTAACATTTTTCTTTTCCATAACTTGTTTTCCTTGAAAACTATTTGCAGTTAAATAATACCTGTATTCTTTGCTTATTTTGACTATTCAAAGGTCAATCAATGTAAAAACCATACTTTGATATTACATTTTTTTTTTAAATTACATGTATATAATAATCATTTGGATCAGACATGTTCTCTTTCCTTATACAGTCAATGTTGCACTGTATAAAAATATAGCATACGATGTCACAAATTCCAAAATATTTAAATTTAAAACATAAATATTTTTACTGAATTATAGATATGTTTTTTTAATTAAATTAAGACACATATCTTTTAGGTAATATATTTCGTAACTTTTGAACAACCCAGATTTATTAATACGTGGGTAGAAAGGTGAGGAAACTCTTAAAACAACATCAACAAACCAGTGAACTGGTCTAGAGCGGGAATCTCACAGATCAGGATAAAACAAATTTCAAATACAAAACCCCTTTTATAGTTTCAAAGTCTCTATTTCACACGACAAAGAAACAAAAATTTACAAAATTTACAATATCATCTTGTATCTTCAAAAGTTTTGTCCTTTTTTTCAGGAACTTGATCGTGGATATGTTGATTTAAGACGTAATGGTCAGTACTTGATCGTGGATATGTTGATTTAAGACGTAATGGTCAGTACTTAGACCTCAACATCACAACGCTTTGATCACTTTTTTATCATCTTTGTTCATTTCTTTGAGGGATGTACAAATCTTTGATACAGAACTGGTTTTGTGATGTTGTAAAGAAAATGATTACTGCAAGAATGAATATTTCGTGCATCATTACAGCTAAAATATGTATACACATGAATATATATCCTATATTACATGGACCTGCACAAGTAAAACTTTTGATGTCATACTCATTGTTGTGATGTTGTTATGAAACAACGATAGGTTCTCAAATTAGCAATGTTCTGATCTACTGTTTGTTACTTTACATTTACTGGGGTTTACGCCAAAATTATCTGAATCATCCAAAACAGGTCTTAGGTTGTTGGCGAATACCTTAAAATTCAGCAGAGCTGGTCACCATGTTATTTTTAAAGTAGCATTCTTTCACTGTACAATGTTAGAGATAATAATTAATTGAAATTGAAATAATCATCCCACATCAGCCTTATAAAGTCATTGATTTTTGGCCAACAACCAGGGATTATTGATAACAGACTATGGATGTATGCACAACACTATTCAAGACCAATCCTCTCTATCCCTGTCACTTAGTCTGGTGAAAATGACCAATCCTCTCTATCCCTGTCACTTAGTCTGGTGAAAATGCATTATGTTACATTTGATGTGGTAGAATAGATATAATCAACATATGTTTGTATATTATCTTGGAATACACCTAACTTGCCATTCAAAACTTTTTGGAAAAAATGTTTTTGCAGCATTGTCTCACCAACATTATATATTCCACCCTAATACACTTACTGTTGGATACATCATAAATCAAAAGAAAATTGACAAAAATAGGTTAAAAATGCAGCAAGCCTTCACTATACAAGTAGTCACTAAATGCAGTATTTGGCAAATAACTTTTCAACTATATATTTACAACAGATTTTGGCCACACAACTATCACACTATTTTGAGCAGTCTTTATTGCACATTGAGATATGTTCACTTATTACACACCAAACTTTCCATACGAGAGACCTCTGTTAAAGGTCAAGCAGGAACATTGCAGAACTGATAGCTCCTTCCTATTCCTTCTACTCATCTTCTTTTCTTCTCCATTTCCTATCTTTCTCTTCCATTTCACTTCCTCCTTTGCCTACATTTTCTGGTCACCATGTACTGGGCATAGTTGCCCTTTGAATGCAAGTGTGTTTGAAAATACAGAGCATGTTGATAAAATGTCACAGCAAAATTAAAACTTACGTATTGCCATTCTCTTCTCCTTGTGAGAATCTTCCCCTTAAATTACCTCCCCTTATTACACTGCAGGGGTCCATTCCTCCCTTTTAAAGTTCAAACCTTCATTTAAGACATCAACATCCATTTATGAGGTTAACACCTCCCTTTAATCATTCAAAGGGAGATAGCTCCTCCGTCTAATCCATTAAAGGGAGATAACTCCTTCCTCTAATCCTTGAAAGGGAGATAACTCCTTCCTCTAATCTATTAAAGAAATCAGCTCTTCCTCTTTATACTCACACAGGTTAATTCCTTTACTTAACAAGACTAGAATCCACGAATAAATCTATTCATCCTTTAATTTGCTAAACTTGGTTTCTTTAGTTCCTAACATACATATCAGCAGTATTGTCGTACTGGTGTAGAAACACTTGTTTGTGATATTTATATATCAAGATTGATAGTGTCAGGGTTACAGAAAAACACTTGAGACAGCATATCCATAATACAGATCACTCCTCCAATGCCTTATTAAGCTCTCTTAATTACTTTTGACTCCTCCCACATTTCAATAGGTTCCTCCCAATATCACTTGGCCCCTCCCAAAATTCAATAAGATCCTCCTATAATTCCACATATTCCCCCCATGATTCACTTGGCTCCTCCCATAATTCCACAGACTCCTCCTACATACAGTGGAGTTGTTCCTTCACCTGACTACTCGACTGCTGCAGGGCGACAGGACACAGGTTACAGAAGGCTAGGCCCGCTCCTGCTCGGCAATTACAAATGTCCGTCATAGTTTTCCAGCTTTGAAAAGACAAAAAAAAAATGATTTCATTGCAATAACACATACATACCAGGTATTTTATCTGCAATTTGTAACATCAATTTGGACATTTTGTAGGTTGCTAAAACAAATTTCTGAAATACACATTTTGAGGAACAATGAAACAGCACTTACAGCTGTCTTTAAGAAAGTAATGACACATGCATGCAGTCATTTCATGACCAAAATGATGATAAAAATACCTGTTTTTTCCAATTGGAAGAGGCAGACTAAGTCCTTTAACATGTCTCTACCTGAGATCTAACAACACTCCACTATTTGTATTTAACATGTCTCTACCTGAGATCTAACAACACTCCACTATTTGCATTTAAACGTTTTATATTTCTCTATATTCAATTATCATGAAAATAAACAAGAGGCCCAAAAGGGCCTGTATCGCTCACCTGAATATTTAAGCAGTCATAGCAAAATCTTCTCATTAAATATTATATTGCACTAAAAATATTTCCCTCGCAAACTTTGTTGGCTCCATCTGTTGAAACTACCAGCAAAATATTATTATAAGATTCTATGCTTTTTGATTCTTCTTCAGAAGTTCCTTGACATACTTTTTCCTGTGACCTTGTAAGTAGGTCAATGTCATTTTTATTCTCAAACTTTGGTGAGCTCTATCCCAAAAAATCACCAGCCAAATATTATAAATTTATGCCTTTTAATTCTTCATCAGAAGTAGTTTGAACCGTTTGAAATATTTGAACGCTGTGACCTTGAAAGTAAGTCAAGGTCATTTTCATTCTCAAACTTTGTTTAGCTCTTTCCCAGGAAATAACCAGCCAAATATTAAGGTTCTATACCTTCCAGTTCTTCAGAAGAAGTTGTTCTAAGCGTTAGACATATCTGACTCCTGTGACCTTGAAAGTAGGTCAAGGTCATTTTCATTCTCAAACTTTGTTGGGCTCTTTCCTAGGAAGCTTCAAGCCAAATATTAAGGTTCTATACCTTCCAGTTCTTCAGGAGAAGTCGTTTGAAGTGTTTGACATATCTGCCTCATGTGACCTTAAAAGTAGGTCAAGGTCATTTTCATTCTCAAACTTTGTTGGGCTCTTTCCCAGGAAGCTTCAAGCCAAATATTAAGGTTCTATACCTTCCAGTTCTTCAGAAGAAGTCGTTTGAAGTGTTTGACATATCTGCCTCATGTGACCTTAAAAGTAGGTCAAGGTCATTTTCATTCTCAAACTTTGTTGGGCTCTTTCCCAGGAAGTCACCAGCCAAATATTTAGGTTCTATAACTTTCAGTTCTTCAGAAGAAGTCGTTTTAAGCATTAGACATATCTGACTCCTGTGACCTTGAAAGTAAGTCAAGGTCATTTTCATTTTCAAACTTTGTCAGGCTCTCTCCAAGGAAGCTACCAGCCAAATATAAAGATTCTATACCTTTCAGTTCTTCAGAAGAAGTCGTTTGAAGTGTTTGACACATTTGACCCCTGTGACCTTGAAAGTAGGTCAAGGTCATTTTCATTCTCAAACTTTGTTGGGCTCTATCCCAGGAAGCCATCAGCCAAATATGAAGATTCTATACCTTTTAGTTCTTTAGAAGAAGTCGTTTGAAGTTTTTGACATATTTGACCCCTGTGACCTTGAAAGTAGGTCAAACTAATTTTCATTCTCAAACTTTGTTGGTCTCTATCCCAGAAAGCCACCAGCCAAATATAAAGATTCTATACCTTTCAGTTCTTCAGAAGAAGTCGTTTGAAGTGTTTGACACATTTGACCCCTGTGACCTTGAAAGTAGGTCAAGGTAATTTTCATTCTCAAACTTTGTTGAGCTCCATCCCTGGAAGCCATCAGCCAAATATGAAGATTCTTTACCTTTCAGTTCTTCAGAAGTCGTTTGAAGTGTTTGACATATTTGACCCCTGTAACCTTGAAAGTAGGTCAAACTAATTTTAATTCCTAAACTTTGTTGGGCTCTATCCCAGGAAGCCACCAGCCAAATATAAAGATTCTATACCTTTCAGTTCTTCAGAAGAAGTCGTTTGAAGTGTTTGACACATTTGACCCCTGTGACCTTGAAAGTAGGTCAAGGTCATTTTCATTCTCAAACTTTGTTGGGCTCTATCCCAGGAAGCCATCAGCCAAATATGAAGATTCTATACCTTTTAATTCTTCAGAAGAAGTCGTTTGAAGTTTTTGACATATTTGACCCCTGTGACCTTGAAAGTAGGTCAAACTAATTTTCATTCTCAAACTTTGTAGGGCTCCTACCAATGAAGCTTTCAGCCAAATATCATGACTCTAGGCCTGTCCGTTCTTCAGAAGAAGTTGTTTAAAGGAAAAGTTGACTGACGGCAGACGCCGCACCATGACATAAGCTCACTTGCCCTTCGGGCAGGGTGAGTTAATAATTAAATTTGATATCAAAATTTTGAAAATCTTACTAGGTTTATCAGTCTTTTGTGTTTATTACAGGACTCGGCAATCTGGGTAGCCAAATAATTGTACTAATCAGGATAAAATACTGTATAGAACATTTGTACGGTGACTAGAGGTATACAATATCGCAGGCACAACAAGAAACACAGTGTAGACATATTGCTTCATACATGTACATGCTGACAACATCAATAACAGCAAGTGATACCTAGAACAAACAAGCTTCTGTGGGAAGCGCAGCTCAAAGGTCCCATCAAATTATTTGTTATGAAATTTTTATATACAGGATCATCTTTATTTTTATGTTTAAATTTTACATCAGACAAGAAATGATCTAATACATATAATTTCAAAAAACATAAAAACTGATCAAACCTTTCAGCTACAGTTCCCATAGCGACCAAAGTGCATACAATTACACATTTTGTAAATATTGAGAAATGAAAATCAAACCGAAATATTTGCATTCTTGCCTTCCCCATGAATTAATTGTGATGTCATAGTATTGTTCCTTGTGACATCAAAATAAATGATATTCCACAAATATCAAAAATGTATGTGATGGTTTTATGGCACTGCATACCAGCCGGAGCATATGATGGTATTACATTGTATTACACGGCATACAGGTCTGAATACATGTTGGTATTATTACCCTGCATACCAGCCGGAGCATATGATGGTATTACATTGTATTACATGGCATACAGGTCTGAATCCATGTTGGTATTATTACACTGCATACCAGCCGGAGCATATGATGGTATTACATTGTATTACATGGCATACAGGTCTGATTACATGTTGGTATTATTACACTGCATACCAGCCGGAGCATATGATGGTATTACATTGTATTACACGGCCTACAGGTCTGAATACATGTTGGTATTATTACACTGCATACCAGCCGGTGCATATGATGGTATTACATAGTATTACATTTCATACTGGTCCAAGTATGTAATGGTTTAATTACACTGCATACCAGCTGGAGCATATGATGGTATTACATTGTATTACATTTCATACTGGTCCAAGTATGTAATGGTTTAATTACACTGCATACCAGCCCAAGATTATGTTAGTGGGGGACCAGTACACTGGTCAACATTATCTAAGTAAGTAATTAATTTGGTAAATTATTGTGAAAGGATAGGACTCTTGAACCAAAACAATTACAGATGAAACAAAGAAATGAGCACTTATTGGGCCAAACACAGTAACAAAAACCTTACATGATTGTATCTTTCGTCAAGGCACTGCTTCCTTTGATTACCTCAATCATGAACAAATCATTGGCTGAGTCAAAGGTTCCATTGTGTTTTAAGAAGGCACATGTTAGACAGTTATTAAAGAAGCCTGGAATGGACAAAGAGCAGTTGAAGAACTACCGCCCAGTTTCAAATCTGCCTTTTCTGTCTAAGATCTTGGAGAAGGTTGTGTCCCGGCGTTTAGAGGTTCATCTCCATGCAAACAGTCTTCATGACAACATGCGATCGGCCTACTGCATGGGACACTCTACTGAAACGGCCCTCCTACGTGTACATAATGAGATAGCTTCTGCATTGGATAACAAGTGCCGAGTTGTGCTCGTCATGCTGGACTTGTCAGCTGCATTTGACGTCATTGACCAATGCATACTTTATAAATGTCTGGACTGATACCGCACTATGCTGGATACAGTCTTATCTGAGTGAAAGACGACAGTGTGTTGCCATCTAATCCACCACCTCACATGACATAATACCAGATTTCAGGGTTCCTCAAGGGTCGGTGTTAGGACCCCGAAAATATTGCCTGTACTCCAAACCGATTGGAGAGATTTGTCGACGCCATAGTCTTCGCTATCATTGCTATGCTGATGACACACAAATGTACATGGTCATCAAACCACAGGACAGTTGGGATACAGTTTCAGAAAGTCTGGAAGCCTGTCTGACAGATAGCAGTACCTGGATGAACGCCAACATGCTAAAGCTTAATCAGGAAAAGTTGGAACTAATCGTCTTTTCCCAAAGTGTCAGCAAACAATGGCTTTCAAGCTCAATGTCGGTGCCAGAACTATTGAGACTGTCCCAGCTGTTATAAACCTAGGGGAATACTTTGATAGTTCTCTGAACATGGAGAAACAAGTGAACGCTATTGCCGAATCCTGTTACTACCAGATCAGGAACATAGGCTGTATCCGGCAGTTTATAACTGCAGATGCATGCAAGATTTTGGTGCATTCACTTGTTACCTCTGGGTTGGATTATGGTAAAGCCCTGCTCTGTGGTATATCTGACAAACTAACCTAGTCGTCTGCAGAGGGTCCAGAACATTGCAGCACGTCTGGTTAACCGTACTCGAAAGAGAGAGCACATCACACATATGTTATATACATTGCACTAGTTACCTGTACGATACAGGTCGCAGTACAACATTTTGGTGTACACATACAAGGCACTGAATGGAACAGCTCCTCAGTACCTACAGGAGCTTGTTACCCTGTATCAACCGGCACAATAACTGCGGTCAGAGTCAGAATCATTGTTGTGTGTCCAAAAATCTCGTACTGTGACCTATGGAAACTGGTGCTTTGGGAGGGTTTCGGCCATGTTGTGGAATAGCTTACCATCTGCTATTAGAAAGTCAAATACCCTGGCAAAATTCTAGAGGGACATCACAACTCACCTCTTCATGTCTGCATTTTAGCGTCTCTGCAAACGTCATGTAAATACCACCCTTTATTTGTTCAATTATGTGCACATTGCTTGCTTAAATGTATAAAAGTGATTGTAAGCCTTTGTTTTGTTTCACAATTATAACTATTACTATTATCCATATGTTGTAAAGCGCTTTAGAGTAATTTTACAAATCATATAGGGCGCTATATAAATGTTGTATATTATTATTATATTAAGGTATTGTCTTGTAAATGCAAAAAAAAAATATTTAAAAATCTGTGCTTTTTAAGGTCTGCTGAGCTTTGTTGTAAATATATTTTACTGTTCATCAATATTTTTATTTATATAGTTAATTTTGGAAGTAACCTCTCCTTGACCACTGACCACAGATAGCATTGCTGTTACATTTTGGAACAGTCTTTCTGTATCCTGACTTCATACTGAACACATGTGAGTTGATCTACCTCCCTTGTCGTACTAGACTTACAAGCTGGAAGCTGGTCTTGGACCCCACGCACGATCCGTGTGAGACAGCTCCACCAACATTCCCCACATTTATATTACTAAGTGAATGTGAATTCTAGTGAATGTGAGAAACAAATTTACAACACTGATCAGGACAACAATAAATACTTAAAATCCGTCGTTAGAAGGACAAAACAGTTTGGTGTATAACTAAGTGTGGTCTCTACAACATTCATGGTCTACGCCTCACCATCTACTGACAACAACATCCACGTCATCAGAACACTAGTGTCTCAGCACTATCACAACACTCACGAGAACCATAGCATACCATTCTGTAGGATGACTTTGGGATATCAGATTTTAAGCAGTCAGAAAAAGAACCACTTTAGATTAAATTTTCTTCAACAGATATGTATTGTTCAAAATTTCTAAATTGTTGATTGTTCTATTTTAGTACAAAAATACCCAATTTTATATAAATCAAATAAAATAAAAATAAAAAAATTAAACTAATAAATTTGATAAAAATCGAATTTTAAACTAATCTTTTTTGATCATTACATTCTTTCTCCTCATGAAAGTTGTCTTTATTGAAATAAATCAACAATTTATTACTCTAAAGAAAAGTTCCCCAAAAATTGAATCTTTCAGTGGACAGAACTTCTGTGGTCAAGTGGAAATTATGTTAATAATGAGAAGGTTTTACAAAGAGTGAAATCTGACAACATGAAACCAAGGATGCAACAAGCTGATGATGGTGGTACCTGCTCCGTCATTGAGCGATCGTGTGTTGTGGCAGACCTCCAGTAGAATATCAGCACTGCAGGAGAGGTGAGTTACTCCCCCTCCCGCCTGCCTCACGGCAATACTACTAACCGCATCCCATCTGTGTGGCAATATAGAGGGAGGTAAACAGGTCAGTCCAATGATCAGGGAGGGTGACAATCAGAATGATACGGAGGGAGGCAATTATAATGGCATCAATGCATTAGTAACGGCAGTACATGATATACTTCATGATCAAAACATGTGAATGGTTAGGAAGTCGGCCTTCACAATGCTTGGTACAAAAACATTTTCTCATTGCAGTATGTAAACTATATATACAGTATTGGCCTTGCTCGTGCATTTTTATATTTCTGTGTGAAGAAAAACTAAATTTTCATCATAAAATTAATTTACATAATGTGATTTCAGTGCAGCAGTGTGAAACAATCAATACTGAAATGAGAAAACCAAGCCGGGAATCTTTAATATGAAATAGCTTCCTCCCCACCCTCGTCCTTTCTTTTTATTTTTTTTCTGCACTCATAATCTATTGAACATTGAACACATTCACCTATCACAAAATTAAACTAACAGCATCAGAGATGCAAATTCCAAGTAGTGCTAGAAGAGACAAATTTCATTAAGTATGTGTGTTTTGTAATGCACAACAGAATAAAGGTGAGCCATGCTTCTAATAAAACTGACACTTACACTCATTATCTTTAGACATTACAGTTTAGATCTCTGGAAAAATGCACAAATAATCTGGGAAATGTTGAAAACAAATATATTCGAGATATTTGCATTTTGAACATCTTCATTAAAATCTGGCTGAAATTCCATAGATAGAAAAAAGGAAGTAACTCCCATAAAAAATGTACTGAATATGATGAGTAACAAACATGGCCAAGACATTTCCTATCAATCCTGTCTAGTGGTGACCAAGGGCCTGCTCGTCTTTAAATGTAAAAAATTTGGGTATAAATCCTGGCGGACCTGCAAATGTTTAATCAGGCCTTGCAAGACTTTGTCAAGGCTCGCCTGGAAGCAGCATCAGATTACTAGGTCCAACCTTATCCGAACAACTGTGGTCCGACCGGTTCAACCGTTTAAACCAAAACGGCCCAGGTTGAGTGACCAAAGGGCAATAACTCCCATGAAACTGAGTGAAGGGTAAGTAAAAAAGCTCAGCCAAGATCTGTATCGAGTACTCATCCACACCCAAGTTTCATAAAAATTCATAATAATGTCTAAACAGTGATAATGGTAAATGTTGACAAAATGCCATTTTAAGTAGGAACATCAGGCCAAAGGATCATAAGACTAAAGAGGTTCTTAAATTTTAACTCTACTACACTATATCAATATGGAAAAACCATGAAATAGACTTACTTCAATTTTTACTTTCTAATTCAATAAGCTATTCAACTGCCCTAATATCTAAATTTTACCCAGGACGACTAATCAAGTGATATGGTAAAACTATGTTTTGAGATATGAAAGTTTTTCCTCATCTTCATAAAATGAGAACTATACCCTATAACTGTCAGTTATAGGATATTAGGTGAAAATCCATGAGATTTTGCATGTATGAACTGAACAAAAAGGAACTGAATTGTTTTTTCTGAAGAATAAAAAAGTTCACTGTAACGGTATGATAGGACAACGCCAGTTTTGCAGGAAATTTAGACATAGCATTCTCAGTTCTAACTACTGAAAAGTGGAACATAGAAAATAAATATTGCTGTGCAAAATCAAAATGATACAGAGATCAAAAACAGTGCTTCAGTCTACATTTTTTTCAAGAAACAAAAAGGAAACTCTGATCAATTAAGTAAATGTAAATTTTGATAATACACTAAATACTGTGGGTGTTTTGTCTATACCTGTCTATAAGTGGGTCGTAGGCCTCTACGGAGCTGAGATAATACACTAAATACTGTGTGTGTTCTGCCTATATATACCTGTCTATAAGTGGGTTGTAGGCCTCTACGGAGCTGAGATAATACACTAAATACTGTGGGTGTTCTTTATATATAAACCTGTCTATAAGTGGGTTGTAGGCCTCTACGGAGCTGAGATAGTACACTAAATACTGTGTGTGTTCTGTATATATATACCTGTCTATAAGTGGGTCGTAGGCCTCTACGGAGCTGAGATAATACACTAAATACTGTCGGTGTTCTTTATATATAAACCTGTCTATAAGTGGGTTGTAGGCCTCTACGGAGCTGAGATAGTACACTAAATACTTTGTGTGTTCTGTATGTACCTATCTATAAGTGGGACGTAGGCCTCTACGGAGCTGAGATAGTACACTAAATACTGTGTGTGTTCTGTATATATATACCTGTCTATAAGTGGGTCGTAGGCCTCTACGGAGCTGAGATAGTTTGTTCCATCGTGTCCCCCTACAGCATACAATCGCCCACCCATAGTTCCCACGCCGACTCCGCCGCGACAACAGGACATACTCGCCACCGTCGTCCACTTATCTGTCCTGGGATCATACTGCTCACATGAATCGAGAGGTGCATTGTCGTCAAACCCTCCTACAAAACAGCGACAAGATGCATCAGAAACAGGAAATAAAACGAAAGACATGAGAAATTTCATCATTTCTAATCATTTACATTATTAACCACTACAGGAGTGCTGTGTTCTAAAATTATTTAATCAATAATTGTTAGCAAAAATAGTAGTCACAAAAGTATGGTTTCAATAATATAATGTATTCTAGATATCAGCCAAAGGTTTTTCTCCAGTGCTCTGTATTCTCACAACTGCTAACATCATATTGCCTCATTAGGTGCTGTATCTCAGTTTTTGAAAGATTTTGCGAAAAATACATTTTAACATTTTAATCCAATGTGCTTAAAGGGACAATGTAGTGATTTTTTTTTTTAATTCATGTTGAGAAATTGACAAGAGATGGCATTTTCTTGGCGTTCTAAATCAGTAAATGATAAAATCCTTAACTGTAAAACCATATGTTTAAGTGGTAGTTATCGGTGACCTTGTTATACTTTATACATATATGTATTTGTCCAGAACAGCCACCCCTGACATACCAACGACATATATGTAACCATCCAGAACAGCCACCCCTGACTTACCAACGACATATATGTAACCATCCATAACAGCCACCCCTGACTTACCAACGACATATATGTACCCGACCAGAACAGCCACCCCTGACTTACCAACGACATATATGTAACCATCCTGAACTGCCACCCCTGACTTACCAACGGCATATATGTAACCGTCCAGAACAGCCACCCCTGACTTACCAACGACATAGATGTAACCATCCAGAACAGCCAAAACTGACTTACCAACGACATATATGTACCCGCCCAGAACAGCCACCCTTGCCTTACCAACGACATATAATATGTACCCATCCATAACAGCCACCCCCAACGACATATAATATGTAACCATCCATAACAGCCACCCCAGACTTGCCAACGGCATATATGTAACCGTCAAGAACAGCCACCCCTGACATACTGACGACATATATGTAACCATCCAGAACAGCCAAAACTGACTTACCAACGACATATATGTACCCGTCCAGAACAGCCACCCTTGACTTACCAACGACATATAATATGTAACCATCCATAACAGCCACCCCAGACTTACCAACGGCATATATGTAACCGTCCAGAACAGCCACCCCTGACATACCAATGACATATATGTAACCATCCAGAACAGCCAACCCTGACTTACCAACGACATATATGTAACCATCCAGAACAGCCACCCCTGACTTACCAACGACATATATGTACCCGTCCAGAACAGCCACCCCTGACATACCAACGACATATATGTAACCATCCAGAACAGCCACCCCTGACTTACCAACGACATATATGTAACCGTCCAGAACAGCCACCCCTGACATACCAATGACATATATGTAACCATCCAGAACAGCCAACCCTGACTTACCAACGACATATATGTAACCATCCAGAACAGCCACCCCTGACTTACCAACGACATATATGTAACCGTCCAGAACAGCCACCCCTGACATACCAACGACATATATGTAACCATCCAGAACAGCCACCCCTGACTTACCAACGACATATATGTAACCATCCAGAACAGCCACCCCTGACTTACCAACGACATATATGTAACCATCCAGAACAGCCACCCCTGACTTACCAACGACATATATGTAACCATCCAGAACAGCCACCCCTGACATACCAACGACATATATGTAACCGTCCATAACAGCCACCCCTGACTTACCAACGACATATATGTAACCATCCAGAACAGCCACCCCTGACTTACCAACGACATATATGTAACCATCCAGAACAGCCACCCCTGACTTACCAACGACATATATGTAACCATCCAGAACAGCCACCCCTGACTTACCAACGACATATATGTAACCATCCAGAACAGCCACCCCTGACTTACCAACGACATATATGTAACCATCCAGAACAGCCACCCCTGACTTACCAACGACATATATGTAACCATCCAGAACAGCCACCCCTGACTTACCAACGACATATATGTAACCATCCAGAACAGCCACCCCTGACTTACCAACGACATATATGTAACCATCCAGAACAGCCACCCCTGACTTACCAACGACATATATGTAACCATCCAGAACAGCCACCCCTGACTTACCAACGACATATATGTAACCATCCAGAACAGCCACCCCTGACTTACCAACGACATATATGTAACCGTCCAGAACAGCCACCCCTGACTTACCAACGACATATATGTAACTTTCCAGAACAGCCACCCCTGACTTACCAACGACATATATGTAACCTTCCAGAACAGCCACCCCTGACTTACCAACGACATATATGTAACCATCCAGAACAGCCACCCCTGACATACCAACGACATATATGTAACCGTCCAGAACAGCCACCCCTGACTTACCAACGACATATATGTAACTTTCCAGAACAGCCACCCCTGACTTACCAACGACATATATGTAACCATCCAGAACAGCCACCCCTGACATACCAACGACATATATGTAACCGTCCAGAACAGCCACCCCTGACTTACCAACGACATATATGTAACTTTCCAGAACAGCCACCCCTGACTTACCAACGACATATATGTAACCATCCAGAACAGCCACCCCTGACTTACCAACGACATATATGTAACTTTCCAGAACAGCCACCCCTGACTTACCAACGACATATATGTAACCATCCAGAACAGCCACCCCTGACATACCAACGACATATATGTAACCGTCCAGAACAGCCACCCCTGACATACCAACGACATATATGTAACCGTCCAGAACAGCCACCCCTGACATACCAACGACATATATGTAACCGTCCAGAACAGCCACCCCTGACTTACCAACGACATATATGTAACCATCCATAACAGCCACCCCTGACTTACTAACGACATATATGTAACCATCCTGAACAGCCACCCCTGAATTACCAACAACATATATGTATTCATCCAGAACAGCCACCCCTGACTTACCAACGACATATATGTAACCGTCCTGAACAGCAACCCCTGACTTACCAACGACATATATGTAATCATCCAGAACAGCCACCCCTGACTTACCAACGACATATATGTAACCGTCCTGAACAGCCACCCCTGCTCCGGCTCTGTGTCGATTCATTGAGGCAATAAATGACCACTTATTATTGAAGGGGTTATACATCTCACACTTATCAAGGGAGGAAACTCCGTCATTACCACCGACAGCATAGAGGCAACCCTGTACCAAATTATAGAGAACATATTACCAGCTGTATATGAAGTCTACACAAAATTATACAAGTAGTAAACTGAAATGTAAATTAAATCATTCTTAAAACATGGCCGTGAGGTCATCTATTGTTCTGGCATGAAGTGTAGTTGAGGCAAATCTACTATATCACCTACTACGGTTCTCAACTGTTTCCAAGCTTTGTCTCAGAAACTAGGTCCCTAGAGTTGTGGCCAGACCCCAGGATCGATTCTAATATTGTGACTGCATTTGTCTCTTTTTGCCAAGCATTTGTATATATAGTTTTGGGGTGGGGATCTCAACCGTTTCAAATTTATGACCCAGGGGCCAAGTCTGTAAGGGTGGGGCAGACCCTGGGATCAATTCTAATGTCATGACTGCATTCGTCTCTTTATGCCCAACAATTGTATATATAGTTTTGGGGTGGGGATATTAACCATTTCAAAGTTATGACCCAGGGGTTAAGTCTCCAAGGGTGGGGCAGTCCCCAAGGCCAACCTGGAAGCATATGTGCAATCATCTCTTTATACTCAGCAATTGTATATATACGGTTATAGGGTGGGGCTCTCAACTGTTTCCAAGCTGTGACTAAGAAACTAGGTCCCTAGGGGTTCGGTCAGACCCCAGGGTCTATTCTGATATCATGATTGCATTCGTCTCTTTATGCCCAGCATTTGTATATATAGTTTTGGGGTGGGGATCTCAACCGTTTTAAAGTTATGGCCCAGGGACTATGTCTCCAAGGGTGGGGCCAGACCCTAGGGACATCCTGGAAGCAAATGTGCATTCTTCTCTTTATACTCAGCAATTGTATATATGGTTATATGGTGGGGATCTCAACCATTTCCAAGTAATACATTTTATTGGCCCCACCCCTTAGCCCGGGGGGTCAGCCCCACCATTTGTACAATTTTGAATCCCTGCCTCCCATGAATACTTCCGACCAAATATGATCAATATCCATGGCATAGTTCTGCAGAAGAAGTCGTTTATAGCAATATAACCAAATGGCCCCCTTTTAGCCCCGCCCCTCAGCCCCCTGGGGGGTCAGCCCAACCATTTGTACAATTTTGAATCTCCACCACCTAGAGATGCTTCTAGTCAAATAAGGTTGATATCAATCGCTTAGTTCCAGAGAAGAAGTCACTTAAAGCAGTATAGCCAAATACACTTTTTGGCCCTGCCCCTCAGCCCCCTGGGGGGTCAGCCACACCATTTGTACAATTTTAAATCCCTGCCTTCCAGGAATGCTTTTCATCAAATATGATTGATATCCAGAGCACAGTTCTACAGAAAAAGTCGTTTGTAGCAATATAGCCAAATTGCCCACTTTTGGCCCCGCCCCTTAGCCCCCTGGGGAGTCAGCCCCACCATTTATACAATTTTCAATCACCACTACCTAGGGATGCTTCCAGTTAAATATGGTTGATATCCATCACTTAGTTCCAGAGAAGAAGTCACTTAAAGCAGTATAGCCAAATACCCTTTTTGGCCCTGCCCCTCAGCCCCCTGGGGGGTCAGCCCCACCATTTGTACAATTTTGAATCCCCACCACCTAGGGATGCTTCCTGTCAAATTTAGTTTAATTCCAACCAGTGGTTAAGAAGAAGAAGTCGTTTAAAGAAATTGTTGACGTACGGACGGACGCCACGGTTTGGCATAAGCTCACCTTGGTCCTTCGGACCAGGTGAGCTAACAATGTCTCAAATGAAAAAAAAAACACCATTGTATCCAGTTATCAATCGGGAAATTCACAATTCATGTTTATATGTTCCCTGAAAAGGGAGATAACTATATTATTAACATTTCAGTTACAGACGATACTAAAAACCAGCAATAGTTCATACAGGGTATTCTCTCAATACTCTGATCCATATCTCTTGTGTATCCCTGTTAAAAATCTTCCTAAACTGGCATCAAGATCTTTATCAGACATAAACAAAAGCTTCCCTTGCACTTTTCCACATTTTGATCTGATTCAGACTTTTTTTGTAACTGTTAGCTTTCCATGTTTCAAAATATCGCCCTTTCAATCAGATTTTGCAATGGTATTTTTAGGATGCAGTATAATTCAGAAGGCTTTCAATTTTGTCATCATTAAAAGTCTGAGATTTAGGAGTTATATTTTCTGTCTCCACAAAATGTTGTTCAGCTTCCTGTGTTGCCATTAAAAGTTATTCTGGTTCTCTTTCACTTGAAACGTCAGAAAATATATCACTTTTCAGGTCAAAGCTAGTGATGGTTTAAGATTGTGTGCAAAAACCTTCCTTGTCACTGCTTGAATCCTCCATGTTTCACAGTCAAAACTAAACTGACTTTGTTTCAATGGAAACACGAGTGTGTCTGTGAAATATTCAAAAATTGTATGCAAAGCATGAAGCATGCCTTTCATAGTGAGAGTAAACAAGTAAAAGGCCTCAAAGGTTTACAGGTGTGGGCATTAGGACCTGTTAAACAATACCCTGTATACCTGTGTAATAGGCCTCAATGGTTTACAGGTGTGGGCATTAGGACCTGTTAAACAATACCCTGTATACCTGTGTAATAGTCCGGGGGAGGAGGTTTTATGATGCCATGTTTGAAGTATAAGAAACACCTCAAACTGTGGAATAGTCAAGATAATGGATAGTTCTCGGCCCTAACAGGCCTCAATCTGTCCATTACCTTGACTATTCCACAGTTTTCGGTGTTTCTCCAATACATAATAATTTCAATATAAGGACAGGATACATAGCTTTATTTCTGCACCATGTTATTCTACAGTAACGTTGAGTACTAATTGTACCTTGTTATACCTGTGTATAGTACAATTGTCAGGTACAGATTGTGTGTGGTATTATTGTGTGTACAATGTATTGTCAGGTACAGATTGTGTGTGGTATAATTGTGTGTACAATGTGAGTGCTTAAAACTGTAAGAGATTGTTAATTGATTTAGCTTAATTTAATTGTCTAAATGATGCCACTGCTATGAAAAATTACCCACAGTATGTTACTTTGCTTAAGAAAAACAATTTTATCCTAGATTTATTACAAATTAAAATGCCAAACACTTAGACGCCAAACACTTGCATGTCAGGTCACTATCTCCAACTATTTATGTGTTAAGATCTTCGCAAGAGAGATTGCTACTACAGGCAATTTTGGTTCCATCAAAGTACTTAACCTTTTCACCACTGTGGACCACAAAGGACTCCTCCAGATAAAGCTATGGTAGAGTCTAGTAAACTTACCTAGGGGTGAAAGGGTTAAAGGCTTCAGAATAACACAAATGAGATAGTGCTTTGTCATATGCAGTATTATTTCTGTTTTAAAAGTCTCTCGAATTTCTCACTCATTCAGAGAAAAAATCTCACCATTTTTTACCAAATCTCACTTAAAGAATTCGCTGACCTCACTCTTTTGCACCAGAAAGTTATGGTATGACTGCAGGTTACAGTCAGTACATCTGTATACACATCACATTTTGTATACCTCAGTGTATTTCTTGCCATTGTAATTGGATGTGTCAAACAACCCCATTCCCAAGGGAATCAAGCCTTTTTTCACCCAGCAAATGTTTGAGACAGATAATGATACTTTAATAATTTCCTGGTTGATGATGCATTTTATTTTGTGTGCAAATATTTTCAATTCATCACAAATTTATCCTAGTTTATAAATCATAAATTGCCAAAAAAGCTCATAGTAAAACATTTGATATTTCTACAGATCTTTACATCCCAAGGAGAGAACTCTTACCCTGTTAACATCATATTTTCACCTGCCTGTGTGTTACAGAGACGATTTATTCACCAATGAGTCTCACTTACATTCAATGTTGCCACACCCACTCCTCCGCGAGGAGTGTTCATGGAGGCTACAAATGTCCAGGAGTCGGAACTTTGATCAAACCTTTCCACAGTGTTAAAACAGGTTGAATCATCCAGCCCTCCCACAGCATAAATCGGACCTCCTAGACAGGCCAAGGCAATGCCACGCCTGTAATACAAACAAAGTTAACAGGTATATAGTGGTTTTAAAATGATAACAGCATTAGTTTAAATTAACACCGAGTACGTGGTACATGTGTAAAGGGAGATTACTCTATAACAAGAATTTAAAATAGAAGAATTATGACGCAGAGTAACCATACAGCATTTTGAAATCATAATCTTGTTAATAATATTCAAAATTCTGTCTGAGGTTTGTAGAAAATATGCATTCCAAGTAATAACATCCACATATGATTATAATAAAATGATATACAACATTTGATATAGCAAGTACCTATCTAGGTAACATAAGCCAATCTAAAGCACTTTACAGTACATAGATATACATGCAATCAGCTTATACATTAATCAATACAATTTTGAGTAATTCTCAGGAGCTGCCTTATCAGGCGCTAACTACTAGTCCTATGCTACCTGGCTAATATCTCCCTATGTGTGTATGCCTGCGTGTGTGCTGGAGATGTTGTAATGTAAATTGGTTTTTCATTTTAAACAAGACAATTTTGAAGAGGAATAGTAATCTTAAAATATAAATACTTACAAAGAAGTTAAAATTTCTGTTAAGAACACTTACCGAGGTGTTGACATGGGTGAAATACTTGTCCAGGTGTTGGATTTGGGATCAAAGACTTCCCCGGAGTTGAGGTGTTTAGTGCCATCGTGTCCTCCAACAGCGTAAAGAAGGTCTGTAGGGAAATCACTGACTTTTGAACATCATTCTACCTGGGATCATTCATAATATAACTACTATAGCAAGCCTGAACAATTTCATTGTCGTACAGAAATATGCCATGCACCATCACAATAGGACCTCATTTGTCCATACAGTGACGCATTAGTTTAAATCTACACAATAGGAAAATTCTATCACTACAAATCTGACCAAATATTGTAAAATGATGAAAAGAATTGAAAATTAAATATTTCCAATCAAAAAAGATGTTTCCAGCTTTAAAATATGTATTAACACATCTGATAGGAAATTGGTTGATTGAGATTGGTTTATTGAGTTATCTCCCTTCATCAGCCGGTGTACATCCTTATCAATATCTTTCCTTCAAACATATCCCATCTAAAGAGTTCCCTTCACTATAAAGTTCATTAAAATATCATTTCTGTCAAGGATGTTGGACTTATCATTATGTGACAAATATCTACCTGAAGCGCAGCACACACCGACATGGCGCCGCCTAGTGTTCATCTCCGACACTTGGAACCATCTGTTTTTCCGGTAGTCATAGCACTCGATACTTTTAAAGGGATCACCAGAGGCTCCTCGCCCACCGACACAAAACAGAACACCTGGGAGCATAGAGTTATATACAGTACATTTACATATATACTAACTGTACAGGGAAAGAATTTCTCTGTTTCACACCTAAGGATGATAAAAAACTTACCACTTAGTAAACACTGTTTCTTCTTGTAGCCATAGCAACTGAACAACAGTTACTGCTGAAGCAAGTATTAATTAATATCATTGAAATTATTTCAACAATTCTTTTATCTTAAACTGTATGGATCTAATCATTTATAAATTTTGGATAAAATCACGAAAAGCTTTCTAAATAGCTCCAGAAAAGATTGAAGAAACTACCAGTAATACCTTAAACATAGCTCCAGGAAAGGGTGCAGAAACTACGGGTAATACCTTAAACATAGCTCCAGGAAAGGGTGAAGAAACTACCGGTAATACCTTAAACATAGCTCCAGGAAAGGGTGAAGAAACTACCGCTAATAAACTTAAACATGGCTCCAGTAAAGGGTGAAGAAACTACCAGTAATACCTTAAACATAGCTCCAGGAAAGGGTGAAGAAACTACTGGTAATACCTTAAACATAGCTCCAGGAAAGGGTGAAGAAACTACCGGAAATACCTTAAACATAGCTCCAGGAAAGGGCGAAGAAACTACCGGTAATACCTTAAACATAGCTCCAGGAAAGGGTGAAGAAACTACTGGTAATACCTTAAACATGTCAGGAAAGGGTGACCTTAAACATAGCTCCAGGAAAGGGCGAAGAAACTACAAGGGTGAAGAAACTACTGGTAATACCTTAAACATGTCAGGAAAGGGTGAAGAAACTACCGGTAATACCTTAAACATAGCTCCAGGAAATGGTGAAGAAACTACCGGTAATACCTTAAACATATGATGTACTTAAAAAAATATATAATGTTTTACCTGCATAGCTTTTCCTTGGCCTCGTCCTTTCAGAAATGCTGATATCTGTGAGTAAGTTGGCAACAGACATTTTATAGTACTTAGCCTCATCAAGAAGGTCACGACACGCGAGGTCATGCTTGATGAGTTCCTCCGTAGCGACATGCTTCTGTAGGTACTGCACACTGAGTAACGGCAGTTTTAGATGGGACAAAAGTTCAGCCAAATTTTTTTTCCGATTTTCAGGATTGCTCTTTACCCATTTTATCACCGACTCATAAGCCTCAATTTCATTGCTGACATTGAGATCAGAGGACGCCATTATTGTACACATAAGCTTCACCGAGACATTTTTAAATTCTTCTGTTTCTACGACTTCCAAGAAATTTTCAAGAATATAATCATCCGCCATTTTCATTAACTCTGTTCTGTTATGTTGTTCTGCGAAGTTGTGAACACCGATACAATTGGTCGGGTGAAGATGCTTTTTCATGAACTCACAGCAGGCCTTAGCAACAGTTTCTATTTGGAGTATTGAAGCAGCGTACAGAATCGGCTGCACTGTGTCTACACTAAGATGAATTTTTGAAGTATATGCAAACTTTATGAGCTTTTCCATTGCACTTTCATCAATGTCGTGAATTGTGATTGTTTCCTGTCGACTCTCCGACATCTCAGACATGAACATGATGCGAAAATATTGACTAACACAAGCTAAAACCATCCTATGGCATCGAAAAGATTTTTCCCCAACTTTGATTTCTACGTCACATAATTGATCTTTTTCATAGAATTCCAAAAAGGTTTTGAAGCTATGCTTGTAATGACTTTTATACTCAAAGTCCTGCACTATGGACGACTCAATATTCAAATGCTCCAAAGTAGCCATTTTTTTCAAATTTCCATACGATTTTGATTTCAAGACTTTGGGCTTGGCATGACTTTCTTCTTTAGATACACTCACAGGTCTAAAGCTAGGCAGCTGATGTGTGGCGGGTTTGGGGGGCACGGGGGGCGTTATACTACTTGGCAAGCTATCACTCCTTTGAGGCAACGGTGGTGCACCGGGCATCTCTAGGGCTGTTCTCCACGCCTAGTGTCCCGTGCAGAGTTCCCAGCCTCAGTTTGAGTATAACACATGCTTTTTAATGACCCCCACCTTGTCCTCACATCCTTAAACAAACAAAATATGAAATGATGAGACATTTAACAAGTGATTGAACTGCCAGTCAGACACCCCTGTGATGTGATCATCAAGCTTTTGTAGGGGAGGTGCATAGCACATATTAGAATGTAGTGTCAAAGTGGCCTTACAAGGTATAACGTGGTTACTACATATGTAACTTCAACTATAGTGATAATTGTGATTTTCCCCCTTCAGTTCAACTGGTAGAGTATAAAACTTTATTAATTTTACAACAATTATAAAACAAGTTTGACTTGGATGTAAGAGACGTATGGTCTTGATGTGGGAGGAAACTGGAATGCTCTGGGAAAACCCATGTGGTCAGCCCTATACCTTTTCACATCCGATCAGGGAATCAAACCCCTGTCGCCTCGGTGAAAGGCAAGTGCACTATATATCCACTGCAACACCCGACCACAACTGGTAAAGTATGTTGTGGGCTGGGATGATGTGGGTTACTGGTACAGATCTGTCCCCAGTGAATCAAAGCTGACTACTCTAGATCTCTTTTCACTGCAATATAGTGATATTTCCCTATCCTACACTCCTGGGCATCAAAGAGTATTTTTCTCTCATTCCGACTACCAGAATAATCTCATGATCAGAAACCATTAAAATGCATGTTGACTGGCTACCATTTTGAAAATATCAACTTTTCCCCAGAGCTGAATCTGTCAGCGAAATTCAGCATACACCATTTAATAATTTGCCAACAGTTTACACAGAAAAAGATAATCTCATCTTTCTAGATCTAACTTGTTTGATCAATATATTTTATAAACGGTTTTATTTTCATCACATCGCCTTTACCACATTTGGGCATCAGACTTTTCCTAATTCCTGCCGTCACATCATTGTTGAGCAATTGTGACGTCACGTCACATTAAGCCCAAGATAGAAACTTCTGACACCCCTTTCTTACCCTTGATACATCTGTAGCTCTATTTTACACACAAGGGAATGAGAGAAAATGGTATATGCAACCCTCCCTGTGATGACAGCGAGTTCTTAAACCAGCTGAGTTCATGGGGCCTTCGGTGGAAAAAAAAATTGGAAAGAGTATATCAAAGTGTTGAGGTAATGGGTACATATCACTCTGTCAGTTATAATCACAAAGAAGGGTTACACTCTCAGAGTAGCCCGAGTTTCCTCTGGCCATGACACCAGATCTAGACTTAAGACATTGTTACAGATCACCAGACCAGAAATCTGTCTGTCAAAATGTCTATATCTGGTGGCGTGCCTCATGGCCAGAGGAAACTCTGGCTAACTGTAGTAACTCTCAGAGTTGTTTTGTTTTTACTCTTTCTCACTTTACTTACTTCCTAATGCTAATCATGAACAAATGTACGTGTGCTGTAAGTGTAATGGTTTAGGAGAGGGGAGAGGGAGGAACTGAGATGCTCAATCACAGCATCCAGAAGCTTAAGATGCATTTTAGACCCTCTACTGTACTTAGTAACTTAATTACTCTGCTCTACTGTCTACTCTAGTCTCTAGTAAGATTTGATATTTTCGTTAGCCTGGTGCACCGTGTGTTTTATCAGAGAATTCACCATTGAATGTAATTCTTTGGTAATCCCCGGCGGTATACCTCGCTTTCCTGAGTCCATGTCTATTTTTGGATACAGGGCAGAAAGCTACCACATGTCGCGCGACAGCCGAAACCTGAAAACAGCATCAACAACAAAAACATGTTCCGATATTCTGGTAACAAAGAAACGAGAGAATTAGGGAAAATGTCCACTTCTTCCAATAAGGATCTGCGTGTAACAAATACTTACTTTTTTAGTTTCCTTCCCGTTATTCGATAATATAGTTTCAGTGTATGTAGGCCGAAATCTTCAGCATCATGTACCTGTCAGTTAGGGGAAGTATAACAAAATCGGGCAAGGAGACGGATATAGTGTACGGATAAGGGGAGGTAACTCGCGCCAAAACAAAAAATCGATTCAGAGAGTGGTATATTGTTGTCATTCCAATACACATATGCAGTAAACTGAAAAATTATAGTTATGGATTAACCTGGTGCATTTAAGTGGCGGAACTGAACTGGGTCGACTGGGTAGCTAAATTGGTATATCGTTCTGGGTTCGAACCTCGCCAGGCCAATGGGTCTGGCTGTCCATTTTCCCGCTCATTACTTTTGGTGCCCGTGATCTATGGAACGCCAAATTAACATATATTCAATTAACTGTACCTATCTTCAAAATAATTGAAAATAGGCTCAATTCAATTGTACCTTTATTTAAACAATTTAAGATATGTACAATTATTTGAACCTATCTCCAATTGAATTCTACCAATTGTACATATCTTCAATTATTTCGTCATATTTGACCCTACATGGATCTTTAATTGAATTGTAACAATCTTTAATTATTGGAAGATAGGTGCAATTATTTGAATATAAGCCTGAGCAATGATACCTTTTCCTTTCATTGTGATAATATTTAAAGCTATCTATGTTTCATGTATTGTGATATTATAATAGTTCATTGTTTCAGTACATATGTTTGTTGAAATAACAGCTCAGATATGCGACTCTTAATATAAGTTTCTCATATCGTGTATCTTGTAAGTCAATATGCTTATATTTATGAGGAGACTATTGAAGCCAAATTAACATATATTCAATTAATTGTAACTATCTTCATATAATTGAAGATAAGTACAATTTATTGAAGATAGGTACAACATATCCTCAATTTAATTGAACATATCTTCAATTGAATTGCACCTGTCTTCAATTATTTGAAGAAATGTGCAACTATTTGAACATAATTATTATGTTAATTTGGCGTTTCAATCAAGTTGAGATCAGACTAGTTGTTGAAACGTTCTTTTTAGCACGGCAAACATTGAATAGGCTTTCTTCACTTTTCACTAAATTGATTGTACAGGTCTAAGTCTGGCTCTATAGTTACTTTAATATTTATTTATTTATTTATTTTTTCGCTCACAGAACTTAAAGGAAGAGTGTGTTAAGAAAGGAATAAGATCTCTTGAAGATCAAAGTAATGTAAACATAGACGAATTTAATAAAAAGAAAAAGGAATTGGAAGATATAAGACTACATAAGATTAAGGGAAGTATAATTCGCTCAAATGTAAAGTGGATTGAAGAAGGAGAAAAACCTTCAAATTATTTTTTCAATTTAGATAATCAAAATTTTACTTCTAAAATTATTCCAAAATTACAGCTTGATAATGGGGAAATGGTAACAGAACAAGATGATATTTTAAGAGAAGTGAAGTCGTTTTATAAGCAGTTATATAATGTAGATAATGAAGTAGCTGATACAAATTTAGAAGAATTGTTGAAGAATTGTCATGTTCCAAAATTAAGTGATGTTGATTCTGTTAGTCTTGAAGGAGTTATTACTCTTAAAGAGGCTTCCGACACTCTAAAAAGTATGAAGAATAACAAAAGTCCGGGGTCTGATGGATTCACGATAGATTTGTTTAAGTGCTTTTGGAAAGATTTGGGGAACTTTGTTGTTAGGGCTATCAATTATGGATTTATGATCGATCAATTATCTGTTACACAGAGGCAAGGTATAATTACATGTTTGCCTAAGGTTGACAAGCCCAGACACTTTATTAAGAACTGGCGACCAATTTCTCTTTTAAATACTGTGTATAAAATAGCCTCAGGATCTATAGCTAATAGAATAAAACCCTTTTTGGGAAAATTAATTATTGTCTGCTTTTTTTCGAGATTAAACGCGGTTGTCGTCAAGGGGACCCAATCGCACCATGTATATGTATACTCTGTGCAGAAATTTTAGCTATTAGAATTAGAAATAACAGAAGTATAAAAGGCATAAATGCTGATAATTGTCCAATTGTCCAGCAATATGCAGATGATACTTCCCTTATCTTAGACTTAGATGGGACAGAACGCTCTCTCAAGGAATCAATTAAGGAACTAAATGTATATAAACAACTTTCAGGTCTTAAAATCAACTTAGATAACACACAGATCGTACGATACTGAACTACGATAAAAAAAACTTGTTAAACTCAAATCTCTTATCAAGTGCTGGAGCCGTAGATCTCTTACTTCTTTAGGGAGAATTAGTATAATAAAATCTTTACTTATCTCACAGTTCAATCATCTTTATATTGCATTACCCAATCCTAATGATTTTTTATAAAAAAAAAATAAGTCAGTACTTTTCAATTTCTTATGGAATAATAAGACAGATACAGTTAAGAGAGAGGTAATTGTACAAACTTACATTGAAGGGGGTCTAAAAATGGTTCATGTTAAGAAATATATGGAAGCTCTTAAGCTAGGGTGGATCAGGAGAATCTTTAGCTCATTTTGTAAATGGCTAGGAATTCTGAACAAAAATGTAGACGTTCAGCTTTTATCTAAATGTGGCACGTAGCAAAAACTAAATGTAAAAATATTTTCTGGGAAGATGAATTTCAGGCTTGGTATAATCTTAGAGTTAAAGAAGAACTTGTTAGAAATATTAATGATGATGAGGAGTTGATACTTAAAACTCCAGTATGGTTTAACAAAAACATTGTTGTTAATAACCAACCAATTTTCTACAAAAAATGGTTCGATGCAGGAATTAGTTTAGTGAATGACTTAATAAAAGACAAGAGAACTTTATCCTTTTATAATTTTAATAAATTCTGTACTGTGTTTGGTACAATAACAAATTATTTACAGTATTATGGTGTAAGAAATTAAGAAATACTTGAGGCCTTTTACATCTCCAAGTAGAACATTGACGTTTCCGATTATTCCTCTTAATCTTGAGCTAATCCTAAAGAAAAAAAGGGTCGCAGGATATCTTTGACTATCATGAAGAAAAATAGGGAAAAAATACAGTATTCCTTTTCGATCAACTCATATCTCTACTCCGTTGGATACAATTTAAGGTCAAGCAGTATGTTCTAACAACTAACTCTTATGTACATAAAACAGGCTTATCAAGCAATCCTAATGGTAATTTCTGTAATAGAGAAAGGGAGACAATCGTGCATATGTTCTGGGAATGTGATGAGGTTCAGAATTTTCTGGCAGGTTTTGAAAGGTTGTTAAATGCACTAACAATTACATTACCTATTAATAAAGAAACATTGTTATTTGGTTTGGTAAATAACACAGGCATTTACAATCGCATTGATAATGCAGTTCTTCTTCTTATCAAATCCTATATCTACAGAACCAGAACTTATACATGGTACTCTCTCTGTTATGGCTCTAGCTAATGTAATAAAAGATAACTATGTGGTTCAAAAATATATTTCATATGGTAAATGTGATCCTGGTCTACATTTTTTTCTAAATGAATGGAAGAAATGGATAAAAATAGTTGATTTTGCCTAAAACCTGACACGATTTAGGCTGATATTCTGTTACTTAACTTTAATTAGTATCTAGCTCTGTTTTGACTTCCTTCCCTGACATGCTTGTTCTGATATCTGTCTTTATCTTTTCTTTTCTTCTCTCTCACTTTTTCTTTCCTTTTATCCTTCCTTCTTCCTTATAGCAATACAGTGTGATATTAAATTAAATAATACCTTCATAGGGGCTTGCTGCAGTGCTTTTGAATCTTCTTCCTTTGTAATTTCTTTGAAAATTATTGTATCGTCTGCAAAGGGATACATTTCAGATTATACTGAGCATGGACGCTCATTAATAAAAATAAGAAAAAGAAGTGGGCCCAAGACTGACCCCTGTGGTATGCCGGAAATTACTTCTGTCTACTCTGAATCTTCTCCGTTCACCATTACCTTCTGTTGTTGTCCCGAGAGAAAACTGGATAGCAATATCAAACTAGTTTTCTTGTCTCATCCAAAAGATGGCACACGCTGAGCCTTCTAATGTGTCATGACATGTTTAGGGGTGCTGAGAGCGAAAGTGAGCGAAACGTAAGGAGAATCGATGATGATGATAACTACCTCTGCCCATTGAGGTTCTCATGTTACACTTGATGTTAACTGCTTGTTTTGATAGCTTCACATGTACATGTATACACACAAAATATAACTACTAGTCTCCTAAATCGTGATTAATAAAAACAAACTCCGGATGTCATATGTGGTCACTTTAATCACACATTGGATGCGATAGTAGACATATTCAAATATTGACTATTAATTATGTTACAATTAGGCGTAACGGAGTTACCCCCTCATGAAATAAGCACATACAAACCTCCCTCATGATATCAGCACATACAAACCTCCCTCATGATATCAGCACAGAGAAACCTCCCTCATGATATCAGCACACAGAAACCTCCCTCATGATATCAGCACATAGAAACCTCCCTCATGATATCAGCACAGAGAAACCTCCCTCATGATATCAGCACAGAGAAACCTCCCCCATGATATCAGCACAGAGAAACCTCCCTCATGATATCAGCACACAGAAACCTCCCTCATGATATCAGCACAAAAACCTCCCTCATGAGAACAACACAGAGAAACCTCCCTCATGATATCAGCACATATAAACCTCCCTCATGATATCAGCACAGAGAACCCTCCATCATGATATCAGCACAGAGAAACCTTCCTCATGATATCAGCACAGAGAAATCTCCCTCATTATATCAGCACAGAGAAACCTCCCTCGTGATATCAGCACAGAGAAACCTCCCCCATGATATCAGCACAGAAAACCCTCCCTCATGATATCAGCCCAGAGCACCCTCCCTCATGATATCAGCACAGAGAAATCTCCCTCATTATATCAGCACAGAGAAACCGCCCTCATGATATCAGCACAGAGAAATCTCCCTCATTATATCAGCACAGAGAAACCTCCCTCTTGATATCAGCACAGAGAAACCTCCCTCATTATATCAGCACAGAGAAACCTCCCTCATGATGTCAGCACAGAGAACCCTTCCTCATGATATCAGCACAGAGAACCCTTCCTCGTGATATCAGCAGAGAAACCCCCTTCATGATATCAGCACAGAGAAACCTCCCTCATGATATCACCACATATAACCCTCCCTCATGATATCAGCACAGAGAACCCTTCCTCGTGATATCAGCAGAGAAACCCCCTTCATGATATCAGCACAGAGAACCCTTCCTCGTGATATCAGCAGAGAAACCCCCTTCATGATATCAGCACAGAGAACCCTTCCTCGTGATATCAGCAGAGAAACCCCCTTCATGATATCAGCACAGAGAACCCTCCCTCATTATATCAGCACAGAGAAACCTCCCTCATGGTATCAGCACAGAGAACCCTTCCTCATGATATCAGCACAGAGAAATCTCCCTCATTATATCAGCACAGAGAAACCTCCCTCATCATATCAGCACAGAGAAACCTCCCTCGTGATATCAGCACAGAGAAACCTCCCTCATCATATCAGCACAGAGAAACCTCCCTCATCATATCAGCACAGAGAAACCTCCCTCATCATATCAGCACAGAGAAACCTCCCTCTTGATATCAGCACAGAGAAACCTCCCTCATTATATCAGCACAGAGAAACCGCCCTCATGATATCAGCACAGAGAACCCTTCCTCATGATATCAGCAGAGAAACCCCCTTCATGATATCAGCACAGAGAAACCTCCCTCATGATATCAGCACAGAGAAACCTCCCTCATGATATCAGCACAGAGAAACCTCCCTCATGATATCAGCAAAGAGAAACCTCCCTCATGATATCAGCACAGAAACCTCCCTCATGATATCAGCACAGAGAAACCTCCCTCATGATATCAGCAAAGAGAAACCTCCCTCATGATATCAGCACATATAAACCTCCCTCATGATATCAGCACAGAAAAACCTCCCTCATGATATCAGCACAGAGAACCCTTCCTCATGATATCAGCACAGAGAAACCTCCCTCGTGATATTAGCACAGGATAACCTCCCTCGTGGTATTAGCACAGAGAAACCTCCCTCATGATATCAGCACTGAGAACCTTCCTCATGGTATTAGCACAGAGAAACCTCCCCCATGGTATCAGCACAGAGAAACCTCCCTCCCTTTAATTGATTAAAATTCACAACGCCTCACGTCCACATATTGGCACACATCCACCAAAAAGACAATATAACTTTAAAATAAGTGCATGCATGAAAGTTGACGCGGTAATACAGCTGTTGACACACATTCTTCAATGTACAAAATGTGAAAATACATTTCGAGGGATAAATCGTTTTTTCTAATTTTCTCAAATAATAACAAAACAATAACATTACAAGCGTCCTAAATGACAAAATGGCCATATGTTGCTTTAATGTTTTCTTTGGTTGGCTTCCTGACTCGACCCGCTACATGATTAAATGGGGGTGTCATACTTGCCAATTCTCCCGATTTTGGAGGGAGACTCCCGATTTTGGACCCTAAAATTGAGCACTTTCAACAAGTGAATTTGCGAAACTATTCCTATATTTTAACATCTAATGATTTCATCAGAAAGAACAGCTCCAAAGATGCAATTTAAACGTGTTGTTTTCCCTTAGGGTGTACATACACATATTTTATTGATCCTTCTCCATGGATTTCAAAAAGTTGGCAAGTATGGTGTGTTTTCTTGCCTCGTATTTCTAATTGTTACGTCACTCGTTGGTCATCTCTGCTGGTGGTCTATAAGCTCTTGAGGTAACACTGGAGCTGGAATCACTAGTTTAAATTTGTTGATATGTAATGGTATAAAGAGTTCTATTGACACCTCTCTACTTCTCATATATTAACATATAATTTAGACAAAGAAGTAATTACGATAGAGCAGACAAAGACATTTGTCAAATTTTCATGGCGAGCCGGCCTTTTATCAAGACAGGAACATGGAAATTTACAACATAAAACAGTGACAAACAGTCACCAATAAACAATAAAAAATAAAATATCACACTGTAACACAATAAAAAATCAAAATACATAAACAAACAGTAGTTACGTTTATAAGACATGCATATCCCCCTCAGTTAGCTTGTAACCGAATGCTTATTATAGTAAATAATTTATCTTGAATACATGAGGTCAAGTGAATCAATACAAAAATTATGAATAAATGTATTGAAACAAATCGTATCCTATCTTTTAACATTTAATTTGGAATATATTAGACGTTCATTTTCTATCTTATGATTCACTTATGAGTCTTAAACTGATCAAATGATCAAATGGTGTAATACAAAAATATTAACAAATAAAATACGACTGGAGACGCTTGAAAAAGTACAGGGATGATTAGACCAGGTGTTCCGGAAGGGTAAGCGTTAGACCAAGTGTTCCGGAAGGGTAAGCGTCCTTTGCTTCATCAATGACACCTGCCATGTAAATCCAAGTCGAATCTAACTAATGTCACGTCCTCGCATCGAGAACTCGGGAAGTGGCAATAAAGCCACAAGGCACTCTAGTGATTATAATACAAAACCATCGACCTTCATATCACACAAAGTGTATCGTACAGCTTAGACGTAGGCCGTCCCTGTTGGTCATGCTGTGAGTAAAGATTGAGGAAAGCGGATGAAGTTGAAGAATCCGTTGTGTCCTTGATTTCAAGCTCTGACTGGTATAAACAATCAATGTGGTCAATGAACTTCTTGTTATTCACAGACGGCACATCACCTATTTATCTCAAAGTGAAATTGAAGGACTTGGCTAGGTTTTTGTAACTAGTCCTGATAAGCTTATCAATAAACTCAACTTCGTACGAAAACATAAAGTAATCGGCTAGAAGAGGTGCACATATTTTTCCTGTAGGAATGCCTACAGTGTGCTGGAAAAAGTTGCCATCGAGCTCAACATATATATATATCGTCAACCAGGAACTCAATCATTCAATTCACAGGTGTTGCAACTCGCATACCGATACGTATGATGTTCTGTTGTATTACACTTAAATGTAAGCTAACTATCAATTTAGGTCATGTCCTCCGTGATGTAAGTAAGAAGCTGTTCTTTTACAATAATACTGTAAAATATACAAGACGGACATCTACATATCTACTTATACTCCCTAACGAAACCATCGCTGTTAAGAGACCATTTTTGCAGCTTCCAGTAGGCGGACTCTTAAAATAGATTTGACAATATCAGACACATAAGACTACATACTACCTTAATGATAGATCTCCCTTATTTAAAATAAATGCTTTATCTAAGAATTCCGCATTATCTTTCAGCTGTAAGCTGCATGCTTTGTAGTGTTCTATCAAATCAGTAGTAAATCAATTGACTCAAACATCATTCATCGAATATATTTTAGATGCTTACAAGTGTTTACAGGTCATTGTTCTGCAGTAAGAGAAAGAAGAAAACACGTCATAGTAAGACTAAACATTATATCCTGAAGTTTATATTTTTGTAGACTCGGATTTAGGAAGTTGTTCTGGTTCCGCATTGGTGTACTGCGCTACACCCTTGTACAACAAGGGCCCGTTTTCGTGAAGAAGAAGTGCTGGCCACACGACGAAGCCCAGGTACTTTCCAGAACGTGTGTAGGCCCGGAAGTGATCCTTGGTAGACTTTGTCGTGATGTCCGCCATCATAGCAACAGGAGGGTCCTGTAGGCACATATACCAACACAATTCCACACAGCTCGCACGGTAGCGAATGTAATGTCTGTTTTCCTCCAGGACTTTATTGAAGTCGGAGTATTTGTTTTTTAGTGCTGCTGATTCATCCACTTCTCCCCTAACCAACTGGAATTACAAAATGTACCATCATTGTAAACAGGTCGTGGAGCTTAAAGACACATACATGTAGGGAACAGATATTGTATTTCTGAGCCTGTCTAATTAACAAGGAACAAACCTCAAAAAGCTAGTTTCAAATGGTTTAAATAAAAGGTGGTGATTATGTGCTGAACATAGTTTTGTGGATCGACACTCCATTTGTAAGTATGCATATTATTGAGGACCTTCTCTCATACTTCATCATTCGATCACATTTAAAGTTAAAAACGCAGCTTTCATGTTCATGACATGAACATAAAATGTTGGCACTGAAACGAAATTAACTGAGAGTTTGTAAAACACGCTAGGAAAAGTTTACCTTTATGACAGGCTTAAGACTTTCTCCAGAAGACATCTGCAGCTTCATGAAGTCTTTACATCTCTTAGAAACGTCAACGTTAGCAGCAGCAGAAGTCTGCATATTTAAAACAAACCGTGGTACCGTAATGTTCACAAATTCAGGACAAAGGCAAAACCGTTGAATTTAAGGGTGTAGATATTCATAAAATGTCTTATTGTGTATGCGTTGGTTGAGCAAGCGATAAAAGTATCTCAAATTTGCATCTAGATATTTTATAGAAACTCGTGTCATAAAATCATATATATTAAAAAGATATATGTAATAGAAAAATAAGTGGGAAACATCATCGTCAGTTTGTTAGTGAGATATATAAACTTTGTTTGCATATACATACTTACTGTTGATTTAACAACAATGTCTATCATTTTGTCAAGATCACTTTTAGCTTTCTTCTGACAATTTTCATATGTGACCTGCAAAACACAATGAACACATGGTATGTAGATTAAAAATTACAATGGACATGTGTCGATTTACGACGGTATATCCCGTCTGCTGTATCGTACACTTCATTACACACACAGTGAGTGTAACAATACATGAACTTTTTTATTTCAACATGACGACGGAAATATTAGATGTCACCAGGGTTTATTGAGAGAACATTAGTTTCAACATACTTATTCTGAGGACCTGTTTCGAGGCCCGGAACAACCTCAACACCGGGTGTCGCGAAAATGCAGACATAAAGTCAGATTTGACAAATCATTCAAATTGCTTGCACACAACATGCTATAACATGAATGCATTTAATGTGAAAAAGAAAAAAAGGACGGATGAACAACACGAATCTCAACGATACACCAGTAGAAAATAGAAGGCAATTACAACACGAATCTCAACGATACACCAGAACACAATAGAAGGGAATGACAACACGAATCTCAACGATACACCAGTACACAATAGAAGGCAATGACAACACGAATTTCAACGATACACAAGAACACAATAGAAGGCAATAACAACACGAATCTCAACGATACACCAGTAGACAATAGAAGGCAATGACAACACGAATCTCAACGATACACAAGAACACAATAGAAGGCAATAACAACACGAATCTCAACGATACACCAGTAGACAATAGAAGGCAATGACAGCACGAATCTCAACGATACACCAGAACACAATCGAAGGGAATGACAACACGAATCTCAACGATACACCCGTAGACAATAGAAGGCAATGACAACACGAATCTCAACGATACACCAGTAACCAATAGAAGGAAATCAGAAGTTACGGAAGGGTATTGTATACCAGGAGTATACCGCAGTTTAAATTTCGCCTTTTTCGCCCTCTGCAATGCGGGCGACTTTATCATGACAGTATATCATATTAATGATTACTTGAGAAGGACTAAATTAACACTAGGTGTGTGTGGATTTTACAGGTGAAGGGCAAATTATTAAATTGGTGAATTTCCAGGAACACAGTTTTTCTGCACCAACTGTGACATCCGTCAAATATTGGAAAGTTTATGGGTCATTAGGGATGGTAGACACTTAACTCCCATTGTTGGTAATCAGGTCACCATGGCAACTGTGACATGTCTATGTAGATGGACACCTCTGACCAGGAACTTATTAGTTATTGGATTAAAACATTGTTAGTTCCAGTTATAAACAAGGTATTCTTGGGAATTTGAAATTCACGATTTATAGCTACATAGTTGAATAAGCTATATTGACATTTATATAGTTTCATTTATGTTTTACTTGAAAAAATAAAAATAAACTCGAAATATAATATCTTCATTAACAAATGAAACCTTTCAACAGCACACTCTCGTGCAGTGTATCAGTTATTAGATATTAGATGATGTTTAGATATTTTGATAAATATATATTTAGGTTTATGTTTTCGAAAGTATACTGTTTGTTGAATGTATCGTTTTGAAAGGCGCTAAAATCAACATATCATCAACATGGCGTAAAGAAAAGCCATTTAATCATTCAAAAAAGGATTATGGATGCACATGCTTAGAACAAATAAAAAAGGTCAAACGGTGTTTTAAATCGCTGATGTAGGGTGAGACCTAAATCAAGAATATTTCTGTGAATATTGTTAGATTGGACGAATAAATACAAAAATCTTACTTTAACAAGATCAACCATGAAGTGAATGCACTTTTCTTCCAACTCTTCCTCAGCTTTTTTAGTCTGTTTTTTCCCGTTATCGGTACATCGGAGTTGCTCTACTACGTCTGTCCATTCGTTATCGTAAAGTTCGGAAAATCTCTCCGCCAATTTGCTTGCTCTGTTTTTATCACTGAGATCGGCAATGGCGGGATTGTTGTTCTTGAGACGGGCACCTGCGATTTCTGAGACTCTGCGGACGATACGTGGAACTTTGATTAAATTGTTTAAATATCAAACAACAAAAGGAATACATATTTAAAGTTATAAAATAACAATAAATAAATAATAATGAATTTAATATGAAACTAAATTTAAAAATTGATAATTTCTTAAGTATTTGACATAATAATTATTACATACAGACTTAATCAATGGAATAAAACAATAAAACGATACATCATAATTATATTCAAAGCCGTATTACTATAAAGCTGAACCTTAATACTTGAGAAAAAGCGTTATCAACATTCTGGGCCTCACCGTTATTCAGAAGATGTCATTTATAGGTTTAAAACATATTTGACCCCTGTGATATTGAATATAAGTCAAGGTCATTCATTTGAACAAACTTGGTAGCCCTTCATCTGAGGTCATATAAAGACTTCAAGTCATCCCGAATCATCAATCACCGGATACTCTATCATTTATGTTGTCTATCGGACGGAAGTAAACATCGACGATAAAAATAAAAGAAAGTGACTTTAGTCCATTCGACGTTTAAGTTATTTTTTATCCTTTATTCAAATTTAAATTGGCGGCATGATAAAACAATTCAGGAACAAAATTCAATCAACTTACACGTTGAGTAGCTCTTGTTTCGCCGATTTGTAGTCTCTTATTTTCTGCTGAACTTTCGACCAGTCACCATCTGTATTTTGTTCACCTTCCTCGCCGGCAGCGTTGTTAGTCTGTACGTTGTGAATATATGTCAAAAGTGCGTACCATGTAAGCGTTATTTATTATATAAAATTGTTAACCGTAAATACAAAACGTTCCATGAAAACAAGAATTACTCAAACTTAAATTCAAGGTTAAACATTCTTTAAAAACCAACTGGAATTGTCGTCGCTCACTCTGGTGTTATACAAAAGAGCAACTTATAAATATGCTATGTAAATATTATACGGTTTCCACATTTTTGGTGGATTATTTTTTGGGTGTAAACACTTAGTGTTTTCCTGTTTAGAACTGCCTTGTGTTTTACACATTTGTAGCATTTTTATTGTCAACTGTCTAAAACGAAACAAAACAAACTACAACATTCTAACATTTTACAGGTACAGTTTCATGTTCTAAATCTATAAAAGTCAAACGATTTAAAAAACAAACCTCAAAACTTTGGAAATTATACAGGATATAATGTACAAGGAAAGACAACTTACAACATCTTTGGTATTTTTGTGACTGTGCTGCACTTTCATATTCAGATCTTTCGTCTTATTCTGAAGCCATTCCATCAATCTTAGTTTGTCCTGTAAATTTCCATCGTCAAGTCTTCTTAATGTTGTATCTATTTTCGAAACGATTTTCAGGTTTTTTCTGGGTTGACCCGTAGGCTCTTTATCATCCTCTGAATTGTGGTTTAGGTCCTTCGTTGATCGGTCAGTAGATACAACTACATGTACTACACTTTTGTGCACACCTGGTTTTTCTTGAGATGTGTCTGTCATTTTAACTGCTTTTCCTGTGAGAGATGTAGTCTTTGCTTTGAATGATCCAGTATCTATCTTGTCTTTCAATTCTTTTTCTGGTTTAGTATTTAAATCTCTATTTCCGTGAATGTCATCAGCGGTGCATGTGGCACCTTTTTTATGTGACTGATTTTGATCACTGTGAGAGGGAGTCCCCGTTGCCTCCTGTTTGTGCTTATCTGTCGATGGACGCGAGCCCATTCTGAAGCAAACAAGAGGCACGTTTGTACATGAGGATGGTGTAACATATCTAACCTTGCTGCTGCAAAAGCATAACAAAGACATTCACAAAACTTTAAACAGGTTATATATTGCTTATATAATGATTAGAATGAAAACAGAGTTCTCGCCTGGGGTTTTGTTGCCTTTGTAAACTTGGTACGAGTAAAAGTTTTAATGCTAACCAGTGATAATGGTCCAGTTTATCTTGAGTAATTTTGCTACAGTATTATTTCCATCTTGTACTTCATGGTACTACGTCAAACTGACAATATCTCACAGGGAGGAAGCGATGCTAGTTGAACACTTAACTATGCGGAAGTACATACTTGCGCTTCACGCGAGGCTCGCGGTAGCGTAAGTATGATGCTGATAAGCTTTCGTAACAACTGTGTAACAACAAAGGAAAGCTACATTTGGTGGCAGTATCTGTTACGAAAACCATAAATACTTAAGAAAACAAGGATCGGTTTTTATAATATCACAGTTAGTTACAATAACTTGAGGTCTTATGACATGACGAACGCGCAATTAAACCACATCGTTTGTGTAACATAATAATATTTTCCACTGCCGAGGATCTGCTTTAAAAGAAGTTACATTTCGAATTCCAGTCACACAGGATGACTTCCAAATGGTAATGAATATATCGTCATCAAATATATGAGGGGCAAGATCGATTCAAAAATAAAAATAATAGCAAGTTGGGTTATCTTCGTTGCTTCTTGATTGTTTTGTACAAACAAACTCTCTTAATGACGCCTGCAAATCATCCGTCATTGAGATGCAGTGATAATTCCATATGTGAGATCTTTGTAGAACTGGACTCCATAATATTATCAGACATAATGTATGTAGTGAGAGCTGTAAGATATTGACTTAATACATTATCTACAAGGTTATTTTATAACTAGATTATCTACAAGGTTATTGTATAACTAGATTATCTACAAGGTTATTGTATAACTAGATTATCTACGAACAATATGATTTAGTTGTTTATATTAGGGTTGTCAACGGTTAACCTGCCACTCGATCGGTTGTCAACGGTTAACCTGCCACTCGATCGGTTGTCAACGGTTAACCTGCCACTCGATCGGTTGTCAACGGTTAACCTGCCACTCGATCGGTTGTCAACGGTTAACCTGCCACTCGATCGGTTGTCAACGGTTAACCTGCCACTCGATCGGTTGTCAACGGTTAACCTGCCACTCGATCGGTTGTCAACGGTTAACCTGCCACTCGATCGGTTGTCAACGGTTAACCTGCCACTCGGTCAGAAGACCTCGAACCGGACATTCATCTCGATGTGGAGTCCCATGTTTATCTGGCTTAAACCTATAAATTATCTATCGATGGGACCAAAGTCGATATTTTTGGCAATAAAACAACGCTCAGACTGACCTGTTAGCGTGTTGTTGTATTTACTAGTAAGGATTGACAAAAGAGATACAGAACACATCATAAAAAGACTGAATAGATTTTAATAGGGAGCCATAATGTAAAAGTTGTGAATTAGAACTAGCTTTTAAGGGAGTAACGCTATACAATCATAAAGAATACCCGATTGATAGACATCAGAGTAACCGGCTACTCAAATTCGTCCGGTTTGACAACCCAGCTAGTTTATATCATATTATTGTAACTGATATTTTGATATCAAACTATTAACATATAAATGTTTTGTAGAGCGGCTACTGGAGATCGATCGATTTGATGGACCTACATTTTTGTGAAACTAGTATACGACCAGGATAGAGTGCTGTTACCTGAACAAGGGAGATAATTCTATTTTTATATAGCGCTTCAACAACCAGTGACTTTTGTTTATCTGACTCTGGTTAGTTGTATTATCAGAATTTCAAAATGAAATATTAGGAATGAGATACTGAGAGTTGTGGGAACTCTATAATCAATCAATTTAAGACAATTTGAGTGATCGACATTTTTGTTTATTTCACGGTTTAGGCTGCGAAGGAATAATTAAGATGGGCGTGACAATGTAAAACGTACAAGAGACACACTTTTTCAATGTTATATGGTCGGTATGACTTGTTAGTAACCCTACATGGTGTTTAGCACACGAAATATAAATTAACACGAAACTGTATAATAGATCTGTATACAACATTAAGTTAATATAAACCGAAAGTAGAAGTATAATTATCAACATACCAAGACAATAAACAATTCTAGCACACATGATACGTTACCAATTGCTTCGTGAATCCATACGCTATCACAAATTATCACCCAATCCGTAGAAATTGTGGTAGAAATCTGAAACAAAACTTGACAAGTTTCCCTATGTCGTCTGAAGGTGGGTGATAACACCAAGCAAACAGGTATCTTAAGTAGGTGATTTATTCTTAGCATAATGTCGGTTGTTGACCCAGATATTTTATTTCATAAATTTAAAAAATCTTGGACCTTACCTATACACACATATAGTAGCATACCTGTTCTACTGATATTCCACCCTACCGGATAACAAGTAGGCGGCCCATTTACACACACACACATACAGGTGTGTGACGCAGGTAAGACACAAATAAGGAACTAATTCGTGGAAACGCGATAAATTACAGGGAACCAGTTTACACAAGCCTTTCTGTATTCGTGACTGCACAAGTTTAGCAAGGGTCACCAGCCTGGTGTAGACTTATGCAATAGCAAGGTGGGGTAAGTTATTGATTGATATGCATGAGTGTGCAGTGTCATTTCAATTTTAAACCGTATGTTTTGGACACTAATCCAAACTTGCCCCTGCTTCAGTTTCCATTTTTGGAGGGTTTCTTTATAGAGGTAATGCACACATTGTATTTACTAACTGGTGCAACACATTATACCTTTTTAAGACTAGATGTTTGGCAAATTTCCAACAAACGTTCCTTACATTTAATCAAGGTAACCAATCCAAACACCAATCAAAGCTTAAGGTCTATTTCGACAAGATTCCATAAAAAGTTGATTTAAGAACATAAATACATGTACATCGTATAAATTTACAGGGAACGACCATTCCCCATGTGTTATATATACAAACCGAAAGCTGGTGTCAAATTTGAATTATTTGCAAATAATAATATCTCAAATAAATATAATTTACGTCTCTTTTAGTTGTTGTAATATGTGTGTCGAGACCTTCTAGTAAATGGATAATATTTTTATTATTTTTGTTTGTTGTTTTTTTTCTCCTCAAAGGGATACAGAATTATCAATGATGACGTCAGGAGACAACCTCCTCGTTGCTGCTATTGATTTTGGGACTACGTTTTCCGGATATGCCTTTTCCTTCCGACACGACTATGATCTGAATCGTTTGAATATCTTTGCAAATACGTCGTGGATAGCAGGTGGTGCCGGACTGGTCTCCTGGAAAACTCCAACAACTCTTCTCCTCAACGCTGATCAATCATTTAACTCGTTCGGTTACCAAGCTGAGGAAGATTACATCGGTATCCTGGACAACGATGACGAAGATCCAGACAACTACTACTACTTCAAAAGATTCAAAATGTTACTCCATGGAAAATTGGTACTTATTTATTTTCAAGTATTCATAGCAATATGCGTTACGTTCAGGGCGATTGTGTTGACATTTCAATGCAATAGAGTTTATCAAACGTGAAAATAATAAAAAAAAAGTATGGTCATTTCAAGCCTTGTTTCGTACCCCAATTCGTGTATCCAATTCCCTACAAAATGCCTTACCATTAAACCACCCATTACCCAAAATATATTACATGCAGGTAATCGGAATGTACAAATGTTGGCTGACAGAACAACTTCATATTGGTATTACAGTTGTTATTTTGGATATGTCGTTAAATCATAATATCTATTAGACAGTTGTAGCTGGTGTACCACTGTTATATTGCCCAGCAGTTTCATATCCAATAGAATTTCATGTTTAACAGCTAAATGTGTTTTTTTGTTTCATTACGGCTATTCCATGTAAGTATGAAAAAAAAGAAATAAAGAAAAAAAATACAAAAGCAAAGTAATAATACATAAGGGTTACATTTAAGCAATGTATATCGAAGGTAAAATAGAATGTGACCAAAAGGAGGCAATGCCCTCAGACACGTCTGAACTAAAACCAGTCGTTATTGTATATCTTCCACAGACGCTGGACAGAAATGTGATGATAAAGGACATTGGTGGTAAAGAGATGCCAGCTTTGGATGTCTTCTGTCACTCAATCCGTTACCTCAAGGACAACCTAATGACGACGCTGGAGAACAGAAGCATTGACATCAAAGAGGAGGAGATCAGGTTTGTTCTCACCATCCCGGCCATTTGGAACGAACCAGCTAAGCAGTTCATGAGGGAAGCAGCCGTCAAGGTATATATGGTTGTGGAAATATTTTATAATGACCAACACTTTGTATATGCAGCAAAAACTCCTGTACAGAACACTGCAGCCATAAATACCTTATAGAGAATCCCAGCCCTATAACCAAAACAGAAGAGTCAATTAAGCTACTGATCGTTTATAGAACACCCCAGTCCCAGTCCTGGAACTTTAACACTTTCAAAGACACTCAATGTCACTCAATCTATAGAAACTTTAACAAACCTTCCAGTCATAGAACCCTCACAGAACACTCGGGCATTAGAGATTATTCAGAACATCCGAGCCATAGAACATTGACATCATATTCCAGTCATAAAACATTTTAAAAAAACTCCAGTCATAGAACGTTTACAGAACACTCCAGCCATAGAACCTTTACAGAACACTCCAGTCATAGAACCTTAACAAAATATCCAGCCATAAAACGTTTACAAAACACACCAACAATAGAACATTAACAAAACACTCCAGCCATAGAACATTAACAAAACACTCCAGCCATAAAACGTTTACAAAACACACCAACAATAGAACATTTACAAAACACACCAACAATAGAACATTAACAAAACACTCCAGCCATAGAACATTAACAAAACACTCCAGTCTTAAAACATTTAAAGAAAACTCCAGCCTTAGAACCATAACAAAATATTCAGCCATAGAACGTTTACAAAACACACCAACCATAGAACATTGACAAAACACTCCAGTCATAGAACATTAACAAAACACTCCAGCCATAGAACCTTTACAGAACACTCCAGCAATAGAACCTTAACAAAACACTCCAGCCATAGAACATTAACAAAATATCCAGTCATAGAACATATACAGAACACCCCAGCCATAAAACATTTACAGAACACTCCAGTCATAGAACCTTAACAAAATATCCAGCCATAAAACGTTTACAAAACACACCAACAATAGAACATTAACAAAACACTCCAGCCATAAAACGTTTACAAAACACACCAACAATAGAACATTAACAAAACACTCCAGCCATAGAACATTTACAGAACACCCCAGCCATAGATCCTTTACAGAACCCCCCAGTCACAGAATGTTTACAGAACACCCCAGCCATAGAACATTTACAAAACACACCAACCATAGAACATTGACAAAACACCCCAGTCATAGAACATTAACAAAACCCTCCAGCCATAGAACATTAACAAAATATCCAGCCATAGAACGTTTACAAAACACCCCAACCATAGAACATTGACAAAACACCCCAGTCATAGAACATTAACAAAACACTCAAGACATAGAACATTTACAGAACCCTCCAGTCATAGAACATTTACAGAACACTCCACCCATAGAACATTAACAAAACACTCCAGCCATAGAACATTAACAGAACACTCCAGCCATAGAACATTAACAAAACACTTCACCCATAGAACATATACAGAACACTCCAGCCATAAAACATTTACATAACACTCCAGTCATAGAACATTTACAACATTTACAGAACAATCCAGCCATAGAACCATAACAGAACACTCCAGTCATAGAACATTAACAAAACACTCCAGCCATAGCACATTAACAAATTATCCAGTCATAGAACATTTACAGAACACTCCAGCAATAGAACCTTAACAAACCCCCCCAGCCATAGAACATTAACAAAACACTCCAGTCTTAAAACATTTAAAGAAAACTCCAGCCTTAGAACCATAACAAAATATTCAGCCATAGAACGTTTACAAAACACACCAACCATAGAACATTGACAAACCACTCCAGTAATAGAACATTAACAAAACCCTCCAGCCATAGAACCTTTCCAGAACACTCCAGCAATAGAACCTTAACAAAACCCTCCAGCCATAGAACCTTTCCAGAACACTCCAGCAATAGAACCTTAACAAACCCCCCCAGCCATAGAACATTTACAGAAACCCCCAGCCATAGAACATTTACAGACCCCCCCAGCCATAGAACCTTTACAGACCCCCCCAGCCATAGATCCTTTACAGAACACCCCAGTCATAGAACATTTACAGAACACCCCAGCCATAGATCCTTTACAGAACACCCCAGTCATAGAACATTTACAGAACACCCCAGCCATAGATCCTTTACAGAACACCCCAGTCATAGAACATTTACAGAACACTCGAGCCGTAGAACATTTACAGAACACTCCACACATAGAACATTAACAAAATATCCAGCCATAGAACGTTTACAAAACACACCAACCATAGAACATTAACAAAACACTCAAGACATAGAACATTTACAGAACCCTCCAGCAATAGAACCTTAACAAAACACTCCAGCAATAGAACATTAACAAAATATCCAGTCATAGAACATTTACAGAACCCTCCAGCAATAGAACCTTAACAAAACCCTCCAGCCATAGAACCTTTACAGAACACCCCAGCAATAGAACCTTAACAAAACCCCCCAGCCATAGAACATTTACAGAAAACTCCAGCCATAGAACATTTACAGAACACTCCAGCCATAGAACCTGAACTAAACACTCCAGCCATAGAACATTAACAAAACACTCCACCCATAGAACATTTACAGAACACTCCAGCAATAGAACATTTACAGAACACTCCACCCATAGAACATTTACAGAACACTCCAGCAATAGAACATTTACTGAACACTCCAGCCATAGAACATTTACAGAACACTCCAATCATAGAACATTTACAGAACACTCCAGCCATAGAACCTTAACAGAACACTCCAGCCATAGATCCTTTACAGAACACCCCAGTCATAGAATGTTTACAGAACCCTCCAGCCATAGAACCTTTACAGAACACTCCAGTCAGAGAACCTTTACAGAACACTCCAGTCATATAACCTTTACAGAACACTTCGACCATAGAATATTTACAGAAAAATCCAGCCATAGAACATTTACAAAACACACCAACCATAGAACATTTACAGAACACTCCAGTCATAGAACCCTTACAGAACACTCCAGTCATAGAACATTTACAGAACACTCAAGCCAGAGAACATTTATAGAATACTCCAGTCATAGAACATTTACAGAACACTCAAGCCAGAGAACATTTATAGAATACTCCTGTCATAGAACATTTACAGAACACTCAAGCCAGAGAACATTTATAGAATACTCCAGTCATAGAACATTTACAGAACCCTCCAGCCATAAAACATTTACAGAACACTCCAGTCATGGAACATTTACAGAACACTCCAACCATAGAACATTTACAGAACACTCCAATCATAGAACATTTACAGAACACCCCAGCCATAAAACATTTACAGAACACTCCAGTCATGGAACATTTACAGAACACTCCAATCATAAAACATTAACAGAACACTCCAGCCATAGAACATTTACAGAACACTCCAGTCATAGAACCTTTACAGAACACTCCACAAATAGAACATTAACAAAATATCCAGCCATAGAACGTTTACAAAACACACCAACCATAGGACATTAACAAAACACTCCAGCAATAGAACATTAAAAAAATATCCAGTCATAGAACATTTACAGAACACTCCCGCCATTGAACATTTACAGAACACTCCAGTCATAGAACCTTTACAGAACACTCCACAAATAGAACATTAACAAAATATCCAGCCATAGAACGTTTACAAAACACACCAACCATAGAACATTCACAAAACCCTCCAGCCATAGAACATTAAAAAAATATCCAGTCATAGAACATTTACAGAACACTCCCGCCATTAAACATTTACAGAACACTCCAGTCATAGAACATTTACAGAACACTCCAGCCATAGAACATTTACAGAACACTCCAGTCATAGAACCTTTACAGAACACTCCAGTCATAAAATGTTTACAGAACACCTTAGAACCTTTACAAAACACTCCAGTCATAGAACCTTTACAGAACACTCCAGCCATAGAACATTTACAGAACACTCCAGTCATAGAACCTTTACAGAACACTCCACAAATAGAACATTAACAAAATATCCAGCCATAGAACGTTTACAAAACACACCAACCATAGAACATTTACAGAACAATCCAGCCATAGAACATTTACATAACACTCTAGTCATAGAACATGTACAGAACACTCCAGTCATAAAACATTTACAGAACACCCCAGCCATAGAACATTAACAAAACACTTCACCCATAGAACATTTACAGAACAATCCAGCCATAGAACATTTACAAAACACCCCAGCCATAGAACATTTACAAAACACACCAACCATAGAACATTTACAGAACACTCCAGCCATAGAACATTTACATAACACTCTAGTCATAGAACATGTACAGAACACTCCAGCCATAAAACATTTACAGAACACTCCAGCCATAGAACATTTACAAAAACACTCCAGTCATAGAACATTAACAGAACACTCCAGCCATAGAACGTTTACAGAACAATCAAGCCATAGAACATTTACAGAACACTCCAGCCATAGAACATTTACAGAACAATCCAGCCATAGAACATTTACAGAACACTCCAACCATAGAACATCAACAAAACACTCCAGCCATAGAACATTAACAAAACACTCCAGACATAGAACGTTAACAGAACACTCCAGCCATAGAATCTTAACAAAATATCCAGCCATAGAACGTTTACAAAACACACCAACCATAGAACATTAACAAAACACCCCAGCCATAGAACATTTACAGAACACTCCAGTCATAGAACGTTTACAGAACACTCGTGTCATAAAACATTTAAAGAAAACTCCAACCTTAGAACATTTACAGAACAATCCAGCCATAGAACATTAACAAAACACTCCAGCCATAGAACATTAACAAAACACTCCAGCAAAAGAACATTAACAAAACCCTCCAGCCATAGAACGTTTACAGAACACTCCAGCCATAGAATCTTAACAAAATATTCAGCCATAGAACGTTTACAAACCACACCAACCATAGAACATTGACAAAACACTCCAGTCATAGAACATCAACAAAA